AAGTTGTGAAGAGTTTAACCATAGAGAATCTCTTAACCATCCCAGCAAATAAGTAAGTGGAAGATGAATGAAACTGTGAAACGTTACCCTGCCATACATAATGTGATGTGCTTCCAGTGCCAATCTAAAGGCGTCCCAAGCCGAAATATAACAAGTACCACCTCGTCCCGGACCAAGGAAAACTATAACCAAAATCCTTTTTATCCGGCATTCATTTGGAACCATGTCCATCTAAAGCACCTTTTACTAAGATCAATGTAGTTGTATGTAACCCTAAAGCAATAGCATGATGAACCAATCAGTCTACGGGCCCTATTGTGAAGAATAGTGCATTACTATTTAACAGCATTGAACGCCAGGCCGCTTGTTGAAGATAAAAGAACCTCGAACCTATATTCAGTTTGACCATGAGCAGATTGAATCTATTGAGCAAATATGGGTGTCGATTAAGATTTCTTTCTCCGGAGTACCAAAAGCAAGCATGACATTATTATGAACGAACGTAAAGCCCCAAAGTATGGAACCCCCCAGAAAAAGGCTGGCCCAACTTCAATGGGATATATATATGATAGCTTCTTTTCTTTACGGTCTAACATTCTTGCCAATACATTACATTATCCTCATTCTGTTCAGGATTGTAATCTCTAGAATATAGCTCCATGAGCAAAAGCGCCCAACTCATAATTGGCGAATTCGTAGGTTCAATTCCTACTGGATGCACACCAATGGGATCCTACAATAAGTCTATTGGAATTGGCTATGTATCGATGGAATCTCATCATCCAGACATAACGAATTGGTGTGGTATATTCATATCATAACATATGAACAGTAAGAACTAGCATTCTTATTGAGACTCGAACTCATAGGGAAGCAAATTGATGGATGGAATCAAGCAGTATTTACAGACAAAAGTCTTCGGTTATTGTATTGTGGGAAAAAAGAAATATACTTAGAATGGCGAATCAGGATCCACTAGGACAGAAATCAAACATTGGGTCGAACTCTTCTTTGGTGTCAAGGTAATAGCTATGAATAGTCATCGACTCCCGGGAAAGGCTAGAAGGAAGAATGGGACCTATTATGGGACATACAATGCATTACAGATGTATGATCATTACGCTTCAACCGGGTTATTCTATTCCACCTCTTAGAAAGAAAAGAACTGAAAGAAAATTAATAGCATGGCGATACATTTATACAAATTATCTCATACTATTCTTTCGGAGCACGAGTTTTGGGCGGTATGTTGTTGAAAGGGGGATCGTAAGGACAACTAAGAGTTTCTGTAAAAGATTAGAATGGAATCAAAAAAAGAAGAAATAGAAAAAGAAGAAGAATTGAGAATAAAGAACGAAAACGGACATGACACAGCAAGTTGCTAGTACCTTCCTTCGGAAAACCCGTAATACGCCTTGAGGAATTCCTACCAGGAGTTCGATTGGATCTAAGCTTCTTCCCTGTACAAGAGATGCTATGTACCTCCTTCCTATGTTACAAAAAAATCTTTAACCCGTAAACGCCTGTTCGCATCCCAAGAGGGCCAAGTCAATTTCTTCAAGCAGGCCTCGTTTTTCGCGGTGATCGATGACAGAATGGTATGAACAAATCCAATGACTTGGATTTGGTAGTTCTCCATTTTCTTTTCTCTTTACCCCTTTTGATATCCTTATAAATGGGGGTGCACCTACAGATGGGTAGGGGTCGGCCTTCCTGATTCTGTTTTTCTTTTCTTTACTCTACCTGTCAAGTTCAGATAATAAATAGAGTCAAAGGTTCAGGTTCATGAGCAAATCTTTCTTTCATTTTCAGAGTCTTTCAAGCTTCATCAAAGGAAAGAAAAGAGAAGAGACCGAGTTCAACAAACACCCATTCTATTTCATGTTACCGAGTTCAATCAGTAATAGTCCGGCCAGGCAATGTAATTTCAGTTTACCTCGTGTTTGAAGGAAAAGGTTTAAGGTTGAGGTTTTTTCTTATAATTTAGAATTGTAAAGAAGACTCCTTCCTATTCATATTATCTAGAAAACTAGTATTCTATATGTATGGTCGGGAGAAGGTCTTAAATCAGACTGCATGGAAGGAATAAATGCCTTATTTATTATTCCCATTCCCATTCTATGCAATTGGCTCGTAAGCACTAGAAATAGATGGCCTTAGGACAGAAGCTAGTTGCTCACCCCCCCAAAACCTCTAGGCACAGGAAAAGAACTTGAGAAGGCCCTAGTCAAAGGGAAGTCAGTAACTCTCTATACTGTTATTGAACTTGGTGTCATGTTGACATCCCCCGCTTCTATCAAAGAGAACCCATGTGTAAAGGCTTAGACTACTCCCCTATCATCAGCTGTTCTTGCAACCGATCAACTTTTCCAACATTGATTTTAGATTGAAAGAATTTTCTCAACACACTAATTTCGACATATTTGATTTGATTATGAGAATCAATCCTACTACTTCTGGTCCTGAGGTTTCTACACGCTTGAAAAAAACAACTTGGGACGTATCGCTCAAATCATTGGTCCGGTACTAGATGTAGCTTTCCCCCCGGGATGCCTAATATTTACAACGCTTTGATAGTGAAAGGTAAGGATACTTACTGCCGGTCAAGAAATTAATGTGACTTGTGAAGTACAGCAATAACAATTATTAGGAAATCATCGGGTTAGAGAGCTATGAGTGCTACAGATGGTCTAATGAGAGGAATGGAAGTGGTTAACACAAGAGCTCCTCTCGCTATCAGTCGAGCTGCTTCGCTCATGAACCTGAACCGATATTCCCTGAAGTTCTTGTTCTTTCCTATTCTTTCACTGTAAACTACTAAGACGAAACGAAAGTTGCATTCTCAATCACTACTGAACCTCGTAAACTATCATCAGGTCAAGCTCCTATACCTATTTCTTTCTTCTAGATCCTTAAAGGACCATTGATTAAAAAATTGATGTTTTACCCTATTTTGAGGGCTATAGGTAATTAGGAAGGAAAGACGAAAGATAAATCAGAGTTCACGGTCAGTCAAGACTCAAGCAAGACAAGAAAGATGAATGAGACTGTAAACACTCCTTATTCATGAGAGTTCACTGTCAGTCAAGACTCAACATTCTTGATCTTCTCCTTCTTTCACTATTCTTGAACGGTAAACAAGGATCAATACTCCTTATTCATTCGACTCTGAAAATTCAATCAAGATTTGCTCATGCCCCCCTTCTCCTTCACTCCTCCTTCACCTTTTTCTTCTTTCACTCGTTCTCGCGACTAAAAATAATAAGCAAAACAAGACCTCTCTCTTACAAAACAAGTACTCTAACCAACTCAGCTACCATAGCCACTTGAAAAAGAAGACATATCAAATGTTTAATCAACAAACAAACAAATACTAGAGTAGATGGGTGCTCTAACCAACTGAACTATGAGAGCAACATGAAATAATAAACATACCAATTCTAGAATCACAAAACGAATGAACACCCAAGCAAACATATCTTTGGACTCTGATACTCTAAAAACTTTAGTAAGGAAAAGGGGAAGAGGACACTATACATATTATGCTCTTGTTGAGAGTTGAACTCAAGACCTCTTGCTTACGAAACAAGTGCTCTAACCAACTGAGCTACAAGAGCCATTTGAAAAATGGGATATATTGGACATTGAGATCACAAACAAACAAAAAGTTTCAGATACCATATTAATTTTATGAAAGGAAAGGGGAAAAACGGCGGGGATTTACATTGTGTGTAAAATTGTATTATGAAATACATGCCTAAAAGACCTATTTAAAATATGAGAACAATTAACCGAGAAATCCATGAATCGAGATCCTAATGCATATAGATACAAATGGTTCAACGGGAGCAAGAATTTCTAGGAATATTTCATTTATGAGCAGAAAAGCCATTTTCATTTTCAAGTAGTGTTCGCTCGATTACGTATTAATCAATATTCGATTGATCAGTATGAGGTTATCAATAAAAAAGATTTCTCTAAGTCACTTCGTTTCTTCTCTTTTTGTCTAACTCACTTTCTTTTTTTCTTTGTGAGTTTCGGGAATATCCCCATTTGTAGGTACGAGATTCACATCTATGAATTGAAAGGTCCGAATGATCAACTTTGCAATAAGTTGTTAGACCGGAACTGGATATGGTTCCGAAGGATGAACTGGATATGAACCGTTCCAATAAGATTTCATTCCTAAATAAAATTTTATTTATTTATTTATTTCATTTATGCCATGACAGAAGGGATACACGTTACACTAGGATATAAACGACCAATTTATCATTAAAATAAATTCTAACATAATCTAACATTATCCTATTTTTGTGACTAGATTTTTAAGTTTATTCTATTTTAGTCCTCAATATATAAACCCCTAGCCATCTAAGAATTTTCAATCCGGGTGTTTCTCTCTTTTGTTTTTTATGTCATTTATTGAGTGTGAGTGGTGCAATCCTAGCATGAATGACACGTATAGCCCAACCAAACTTAGTTTCCACATGAGTTATGTTCGGTAGACGAAGAAGAACCTTACCTAAGGTTCAACAAAATCATAAAGAGACACAAAAAAGTAGAATGAGGTTTGAGTTCTCCTTAAGACCGGTCATGAATGAATATAAGTCATGATGTCACACGGTTGAAAATGTAAGACTGTGACACTCCGCGTTTCAGTCTCCTAATAAAAAAAAAAAGACCAATTTCACGACTATAAGCGACTTGTTTGTCGTAGCACAGTAGCAACCAACTGATTCGTCAAGGTGCAAAGAGGCAATAGTGTTTGAGGCTTTCTCTAGACGACTAAGATGCCACAAAGGCACTACCACGTGCTGCATTACGTCCCATGACCATCTTGGCATCGTCCTATTTGAGGCGAGGTTCTATCTCCATCTTCCATTAGTGCAACTCATCAATCTACTAGCAATCGGAGAGAATACATAGCACGTTGCAACAAAAGCTTGATTCGAACGGTGACCAATCAAACCTTAGATTTTTCCAGCCAACAGTTTTTCTTTCCACTTATCATTTATTGGGTCTAGCCCTAGTTGGGTGACAGGGATCGTCACCAATACAGTTCCTGATCTGGGTTTGATTGTGTTCGTGGCGTTGCTTTCTCATGGAAATGGGTTGGTGCAAAATCGTTCTCCGCCCAACCAAATCTTCGCTTCCACTTCCCGCAAACAATCAAATCCGTCTGTAAGACAGAGTTTGCTTCTCATCTCCTCTTCCTCACTCTGCAGATGCCTGAAACCAACTTCCCAACCTCTCATCTTTTCAACCACTACCCTCCAATGCTTTCACCGCCCTCTCCCAAACATCGATTCCGTTCATCTGGGTTCTTCGTTTTCCATATAAAATCACCCACAAATCCTAATTCAAGGCCTGCTAGAGTCATTTTTTGATTTGGGGTTGCAGAATCAAAGGCAATCCAAGGGACTGACTGGCAAGTGAGTACCACAATGATGGTTTCTGATATCCCGATTTGCCACACTTGTGGTGAGCAAGTCGGAGTTGATACCAATGGAGAGGTTTTCATTGCTTGCCATGAGTGCCAATTTCCCATTTGCAAAGTCTGCGTTCAGTATGATATCAAGGAAGGCCGCAATGTTTGCTTGCGGTGTGGCTCGCCATTTGACAGTATTTTCTCATCACTGAACTTGAATTTCATTTTGATCTGAATATTATCAGTGATTCTTGTATTTCCTGTTGTTCTGAGTTTGTTTGCATGATCTGAGTTTTTAGAGAATTTACTGATGGATGATACAAAGACATCAGGAAATCAACACACCATGGCATCTCATCTCAGTCATTCTCAGGTAAAATTTGTTTTGTCAGCTGCATTCACTTGTGAGTTGTGACCAAGTTACAAGTATTCACTGTTTTTTTGTTCTTGATTAGGATGTTGGAGTTCATGCTAGACATGTCAGTAGCGTATCAACTGTGGATAGTGGTAATTAATATAGATTTTGTTACTCACGTTGGGAGCCTTTCATGTTGTTCCTGTTCTTGATAATCTTTTCTTGTTTTGTGAAGAATTGAATGATGAATCTGGGAAACCAATATGGAAGAATAGAGTAGAGAGTTGGAAGGATAAGAAGAACAAAAAGAAAAGATCTACTGTGAAGACAGAACAAGAAGCTCAAGTTCCACCCCAACAACAAATGGAAGAGAAACAGTAAGTACAAGGATGTTGGGTTCTTTTAATGTAATTTGTAAGAATTTAATGGTCAGACCTGTCGTGTTGCTTTAACATTTTGAAAGCATGATTGGAGCAAAATTGTAACAACCCAAGCTCACTACTAGCAGATATTGTCATTTTTGAGTTTTTCCTTTTGGGCTTGTTTTTAAAACGCATCTTCTAGGGATAGGTTTCAACACTCTTATAAAGAATGCTTTGATCTCCTCCCCAACCGATGTAGAATCTCACAATCCACCCCCTTCGAGGTCTAGCGTTCTCGCCGGTACTCGTTTCCTTCTCCAATCGATGTGAGACCCCCCAATCCACCCCCTCGGGGCCCAATGTCCTTCCTGGCACACTGCCTCGTGTCCACCCTCCTTCGGGGCTCAGGCACATCGCCTGGTGTCTGGCTCTGATACCATTTGTAACAGCCCAAGCCCACCGCTGGTACATAATGTCTTCTTTGGGCTTTCCTCAAAGTTTTTAAAACGCATCTTCTAGGGAGAGGTTTCTACATCCTTATAAAAGAATTTTCGTTTTCCTCCCCAACCGATGTGGGATCTCTCAAAAAAACCTGGTTTTTGTGTATTGATGGCCTTTTCTACTAAACTGGCTTCATATCGCTACAAGTTCTTGGTTAGAGAAGGCTCAAAATTTCATTCTTCTAATGATATGGTAATTAGTCATTACACTTACGGCAATGTGGATTTTGTTCTTCCAGGATTTCAGAGGAGGCTGTAGTTACACACTCATTTTCTTCAGTTTATCCGATTCCGTCGAGCAGATTAACACCATACAGAATAGTGATAATCATGCGATTGATCATTCTAGGTCTTTTCTTTCAATATAGGATTACAAATCCTGTTGATAGTGCTTTTGGTCTATGGCTCACTTCTATCATATGTGAAATCTGGTTCGCCTTCTCCTGGGTGTTGGATCAGTTCCCTAAATGGTTTCCTGTCTGCAGGGACACATTTATTGACAGATTATCAGCCAGGTAGGAGCAAGAAACCAAAACTTAGAATCCCTCTTTCTACTTTGAAGCTTCTGATATGGTATTCATTGTGTTTATCCATTTCTATGTCAGGTTTGAAAGAGAGGGAGAACCTTCCCAGCTTGCTGCTGTGGATTTTTTTGTGAGTACCGTTGATCCGTTGAAAGAACCTCCTCTAATCACTGCGAATACTGTGCTTTCAATCCTTGCTGTGGACTATCCTGTCGATAAAGTCTCCTGCTATGTGTCTGACGATGGTGCAGCTATGCTCACATTTGAATCTCTAGTCGAAACAGCCGACTTCGCAAGGAAGTGGGTTCCATTTTGCAAAAAATTCTCCATTGAACCCCGAGCTCCCGAGTTTTACTTCTCCCAGAAAATAGACTATTTGAAAGATAAAGTACAACCTTCTTTTGTAAAGGAACGTAGAGCTATGAAAGTAAGAACTTCAAGCTTCCTCTTACATTCCGCTCGTTTTTTTAGTAGTTCCCATGACTGAGTGACTTGTTAGATTTGAATTTTATAAATATGTCATATAGGGTGAGATCCCACATCAGATTTGAATTTTATAAATATGTCATATAGGGTGAGATCCCACATCAGTTGGAGATGGGAACGGAACAGTCCTTATAAGGGTGTGGAAACCTCTCCCTAAAAGACGCGTTTTAGAATCGTGAGGCTGACGGTGATACGTAATGGGCTAAAGCAGACAATATCTGCTAGCAGTGGGCTTTGGTTGTTGTAAATGGTATCAGAGCCAGACACCGGACGGTGTGCCAACGAGAACTTTGGGCCTCTAGGGGGGTGGATTGTGAGATCCCACATCGGTTGAAGAGGGAAACTAAGCATTCCTTATAAGGGTGTGGAAACCTCTCCCTAACTGACGCGTTTTAAAACTGTGAGGCTTACAGCAATACGTAATGGCTAAAGCAGACAATATCTGCTAGTGATGGGCCTGGGCTTGGGCTGTTACATATAGTATGTCAATTGTCGCAAACAGTTACTTAACAATTAGTCTGCTAATTCCTTGCAGAGAGCTTATGAAGAGTTTAAAGTACGAGTCAATGCTTTGGTGGCAAAGGCTCAAAAAACACCTGATGAAGGCTGGTCCATGCAAGATGGAACAGCTTGGCCAGGAAACAATCCACGTGATCACCCTGGAATGATTCAGGTTAAAAACTATTCATTTGATTCCGATATTCTACTTACAGAGAAGAATATTCACTTGAAAATTTGAATCAAATGTTCAAACGTAGAGGATGAATCGTTTCAGGTTTTTCTTGGAAATACCGGCGCCCATGACGTAGAGGGAAATGAACTTCCTCGACTAGTCTACGTCTCCAGAGAGAAGAGGCCTGGTTACCAGCATCACAAAAAAGCTGGTGCTGAAAATGCTCTGGTACCCATTTATCTATCACATTTATTTGTTGCAGGCACATCAAAGTTGTATACTTAAATCTTTGTCCTTAAACAGGTAAGAGTATCTGCAGTCCTCACAAACGCCCCCTTCATTCTCAACCTTGACTGCGATCACTATGTTAACAATAGTCAAGCTATACGTGAGGCAATGTGTTTCTTGATGGACCCACAAGTTGGCCGAGATGTATGCTATGTTCAATTTCCTCAGAGGTTTGATGGCATTGATCGAAGTGATCGATATGCCAATCGCAACACGGTTTTCTTCGATGTGAGTTTAAATTGTTTTGAAACATACATGATCGTTCTATCCAATCCTTTACCGAAGAATATTGAACATAATTTTCCATGCTTCAGAAGCATCTGAGCTCTTAGTGCTAGATAGTGTGCATGCCAAAATGATATTTTTTATGTGTTTGCCAAATAGAGGTCAAAACGTACTTATACTACATTAGTTATGTGAGATCCACATTGGTTGAAGAGGGGAACAAAGCATCCCTTGTAAAGGTGTGGAAACCTCTCCCTAACAGACGCGTTTTAAAACTGTGAGGCTGATGGCGAAACGTAACAGGCTAAAGCGGACAATATTTGCTAGCGGTTAGCTTGGGTTGTTACAAATGGTATCAGAGCCAAACATTGGGCGGTGTGCCAGTGAGGACGTTAGACTCCCAAGGGGAGTGGATCGTGAGATCCCACATCAGTTGGAGAGGGAAACGAAGTATCCTTTGTAAGGGTGTGGTAACCTCTCCCTACGCATTTTAAAACTGTGACAAATGGTATCAGAGCCAAATATTGGGCGGTGTGTCAGTGAGGACGTTAGACTCCCAAGGGGAGTGGATTGTGAGATCCCACATCGGTTGGAGAGGGGAACGAAGTATCCTTTGTAAGGGTGTGGTAACCTCTTCCTAATAGACGCATTTTAAAACCGTGAGACTGACAGCGATACGTAACGGGCCAAAGCAGTGAGCTTCGGCTGTTATAAGTTAAGCTTGATCCCTGCATTAGTTAGTATTCAGGCTCATCAGTTTTGAGGATCTTCATTTTTGTTTCAGGTGAACATGAAAGGATTGGATGGTATCCAGGGACCAGTTTATGTTGGTACAGGTTGTGTTTTCAATAGACAGGCACTTTATGGCTACGGACCTCCTTCCATGCCTAGCTTATCTAAGACATCCTCGTCATCTTGCTCTTGGTGTGGCTGCTGCTCTTGCTGCTGTCCTTCCAAGAAGATCTCAAAAGATCCGACTGAGATTCAGAGAGATGCAAAAAGAGAAGAGCTTGATGCTGCAATCTTTAACCTCAGGGAAATAGATAGTAAGTCTAATCTAATCTTGGTGGAATTTGGTATTAGAAATTTAAGGCAGTAGTTCTCTGAATGGCTTAGAATTTAAATTTGGCTTTGTTCTACAGATTATGATGAGTATGAGAGATCAATGCTGATTTCTCAACTGAGCTTTGAGAAAACTTTCGGATTGTCGTCTGTATTTATCGAGTCTACGCTAATGGAAAATGGAGGAGTAGCAGAATCTGCAAATCCGTCGACTTTGATCAAGGAAGCAATTCATGTCATTAGTTGTGGTTATGAAGAGAAGTCCGCTTGGGGAAAAGAGGTACTGGTTTTAGTTCATATGTGAAAACTATTGAACTATTATGTGAGATCCCATGTCGGTTGGGGAGGAGAACGAAACATTCTTTATAAGAGTGTTGAAAACCTCTCCCTAACAGACTCATTTTAAAAATCTTGAGGGGAAGCCCGAAAGGGAAAGCCCAAAGAGGACAATATCTGGTAGAAGTGGGCGTGGGGCCGTTACAAATGGTATCAGAGCCAGACACCGGGCAATGTATCAGCGAGGAGGCTGAACCCCGAAGGAGGGTGGATACATGGCGGTGTGCCAGCAAGGATGCTGCGCCCTAAAGGGGGTGAATTGGGGAATCCCATAGAGAAGGAAATCAGTGCCACCGAGGATGCTAGAGGCCCCCACGGGGGTAGACTGTGAGATCCCCACATTGGTTGGGAGGAAAACAAAACATTATTTATAAGGGTGTGGAAACCTCTTCCTAGCGGACTTTGTTTTAAAAATCTTGAGGCAAACCTCGAAAGGAAAAGTCAAAAGAGGACAATGTCTACTAGCAGTGGACTTGAGCCATTACAAATGGTAGCATAGCCAGACACCGGATGGTGTGTCAGCGAGAAGTCTGAGTCCCGAAGGGGGGTGGACACGAAATGGTGTGCCAGCAAGGATGCTGGGCCCCGAAGCATTCTTTATAAAGGGTGTGGAAACCTCTCCCTAGCAGACACGTTTTAAAAACCTTGAGAAGAACCTCGAAAGGAAAAACCCAAAGAGAACAATATCTACTAGCGGTGGGCTCAGACCGCTACCTACCATTGCTTTCTTTTACTTAAATTTGTAGTGTAGTCAATATTTTGTGAACCCTTGTGAACATGTTTTTGGCTTGCGGCTTTGCTTTTCAGATTGGTTGGATATATGGGTCAGTGACTGAGGATATCTTAACGGGTTTCAAGATGCATTGCCGAGGGTGGAGGTCCATCTACTGCATGCCATTTAGGCCAGCATTCAAAGGGTCCGCACCAATTAACCTTTCTGATCGTCTGCACCAAGTTCTTCGATGGGCACTTGGATCTGTTGAGATTTTTCTCAGCAGACACTGTCCATTATGGTATGGATTTGCAGGCGGCCGCCTCAAATGGCTCCAAAGAATGGCTTACATAAACACCATTGTCTATCCCTTCACCTCGCTCCCTCTTGTTGCTTACTGCTCATTGCCTGCAATCTGCCTGCTCACAGGAAAATTCATCATTCCAACGGTAAATATCTCTACCTTCCCAGATTTGTTTGTAAACTATTCAAATAGAATTGTGTTCCTTATCTCTTCCACATCGTTCAGCTCTCGAACCTAGCAAGTACCCTTTTTCTCGGTCTCTTCTTGTCCATCATTCTCACGAGTGTCCTCGAGCTGCGTTGGAGTGGTGTTAGCATCGAAGATATATGGCGTAACGAGCAATTCTGGGTCATCGGAGGCGTCTCGGCGCATCTCTTTGCTGTCTTCCAAGGTTTCCTAAAGATGTTAGCTGGTGTCGACACCAACTTCACGGTTACCACAAAGGCAGCCGAGGACACCGAGTTTGGAGAGCTTTACATGGTGAAATGGACGACACTTCTGATCCCTCCGACAACCCTTATCGTCGTCAACCTGGTCGGTGTCGTTGCAGGATTTTCTGATGCATTAAATGGTGGATATGAAGCATGGGGTCCTCTTTTTGGCAAGGTATTCTTTGCGTTTTGGGTGATTTTTCATCTCTATCCATTCCTCAAAGGTCTCATGGGTCGCCAGAACAGAACTCCAACCATTGTTGTTCTTTGGTCAGTGCTGTTGGCCTCAGTTTTCTCACTTGTTTGGGTGAAGATTAACCCATTTGTGAACCAGGTTGACAGTACAACCGTTGCACAAAGCTGCATTGCTATAGATTGTTGATTAGTTTTGAAGAAATTTACCTAAAATCTTCAATTCCTCGTCGAAGGCTCGTTGTCGTCGTGATTGTTTATACTTTATGGCACAGTACTCATTATGTTGTTTTAGTTTTTAAGGGTATTTTTAGTCATTTTAGATTCATCATCGTTGGGATTGTTTATACTTTATGATACAGTTTGAGATCAAAACATACCAATTCACTTGAATATCTCACTTCAGCTGGCATGCCAACAAGGACACTAACCCCCAAAGGGTAAAGTGTGAAATCTCACATCGGTTGTAGAAAAGAACAAATCATTTCATAACGGTATAAACTTTTCCTTAATAGACACGTTTTAAACCCGTGAAGCTGGACAATAAAATATGGAATGAATAATACTTCACCGTAATTGGCATCTGATTGAATGTATTGACAGCTTCACTACAACGCCGTGCATCTGATATCCAGCTATCACCACTGTCCATGAGACAAGGTCCTTGTCGGGTTGAAATTTTGGGAGCTGCAAAGAAGCTCCGTGAAATTTTAAAGATCACCCACTTCACAAAACTCCATGCCTTTTCGAATTAGGTTTGACAAAGATGATAGAAAGCCGAAATTTCAAGCTCACTAATCCAAGATGATAGTGCACTGCCGAAGATAACCAGAACATCGGAGGGGTTCTGCTATGAGTACCATCTTTTGCCGCAAATCCCAGTAAGAAACGGCAAAAACGGTGATGAATTTGTGCCATTAAACAAATAGCGGTAGCAATAATGGCGACAAATCAAAAGAAACGACGAACAATGAGATAGCCACGTGGGAGCACGAGATTCAGAAGCTTGTGGACAGCCCACATTATAACACACCCATACATTACACCTTGTGGATCAGATCCAGTTTTTGACATTCATAGAATTCCATTTTTCTGGGAAAAATCAGATGGAAGCAGTAGTTTTCCAGTCTCGAACCCTAATCCGTTTCCCCAATTTGGTCTCTTTCACAAGGAGGAGACCCATTTTCACTTTGAAAGGTATGAATCTCCACATTTTATCAGATCCCCAGAAAAACCCATCTAGAATTCTTGTGTATTTCACGAGCTGAGGGATTAATTTTTATGCAGCTTGTTGAATTTGGCAGAGATTGCAGATGGGTATCGTAGCAACAGCATTCAATTGGCTGTTTCAAGCAATGGAAAAGATGGAAACGCAGGGCATCAGCCTGTTCGTAGAAGCTCTGCGCCTGGAAGAACCAGGAAGAATGTGCCCTCCTTGAGAAAAACAGATACCCATAAGAATGAAGACATGAAAAAACCCAAATCAAATAACCAGGAGGAAATAATTGCTCTCTTTAGGAAGATACAGACTTCCATTGCTGAGGAAGCTGCAAGCTCCATTGATGAAGATTCTAACAAGGATGAAGATGGAACTGAGTCTATTTTGGAGGCTCTTACTGAATCAAGGAAGCAAGTAAAAGGTAATTTCTTGATTGTCTCATCTGGTGCATTCGTGAGAAATTTGACCCACCTTTGAATCCATCAATGCATCTTGCAAGAACTAAAGTCATTAACATAAACATCTCTTTTGTGGTATACAAGAAGCAAGGAAAGAAACTTGATGATAAGTTACCAATATAGCTCTTGAACCATTCTTGTAAGCTGTCAAGAAGTATAGGTTCATGCATCTCCAGTTTAAGATTGTTGGGAGTGAGTTCCACGTTGGTTACTTTGGGGAAGGATTATGAGTTTATAAGTAAAGAAATATATCTCCATTGGAATGAGGTCTTTTGGGAAAACCAAAAGCAAAGTCATGGGAGCTTATACTCAAAATGGATAATATCATACCATTGTGGTTGGTATCAGAGACGTGCCCTTAACTTAGCCATGTCAATAGAATCCGAACAAAGAAATTGTGAGTCTCAAAGGTGTAGTCAAAAGTGACCAAGTGTCGAACAAAGGGTAAACTTTGTTCGAGGACTCCAGAGAAAGGAGTCGAGCCTCGATTAAGGGGAGGGCTTCATAGGCCTCATGAGAGGCTTATAGTGTACTTTGTTCGAGGGGAGGATTGTTGAGAATTGTTGGGAGTGAGTCCCACGTTGGCTAATTTAGGAAATGATCATGGGTTTCATTGGTATGAGGTCTTTTAGGCAAGCTCAAAGCAAAGTCATGAGAACTTATGCTCAAAGTGGACAATATCATACCATTGTGGAGAGTCGTGATTCCTAACATCTCATGTGCATATATTGGCATTTAGTTGGTTCATAACTCTCATTTTTTTTTGTTCATAACCCTTTTGGTTCATCTTCCATTTTGATACACGAATCATCTTGATTCATGTATGGCATTAATGCTTCTATGTCTATATAAAAGGTTGTCTAGAATAGTTCAGATACATAGAGTTTGTTTGTTGGAGTGTCATTTTGTATTTGTTGAGTGACATTTGGGAGGAACTTTGCCGAGAGACTTTCTAGTGTGAGAGTGTAAGATATATACTTTGTAAACACTTAGATTATTGAGATTGGTAGCTACTCGTGGATATAGAGGAATTTCTTTTCTCCGAACCAAGTAAATCTTTGTGTCTCTTTGTTTAACTTCTAATTGTGGGTGTCTGAGTGCGATCGTTCTCACTTCCGCTTATGTTACAACAAAAATATCGTGTTCTTACCCTATGAAAACACGGCGGCACTCTATGACTGAATGGATGTGCATTATAACTTGGTATGGACAGGCAAAACTTTAAAGAATGCAGGAGTTAAAGGGTTGAGAAGAAAAGACACATCTGAAGCTGCTGCAGAATTCAAGTTAGTACGGCCACCGTCTAACTTTGTGAAGAGATCACCAATCCCAACTCCGGCAGGAGGAAATGGTTCGCATCTTACAGTGGAGAATATGAAACTTAAAGAGCTGAAAGCAGTTGCAAAATCTAGAGGAATTAAGGGATACTCCAAGTTGAAGAAAAATGAGCTGCTGGAACTCTTGACATCCTAAACCATGGCAGACCATTTTGGGTACACATTCATGGAGCTCAACAAAACCAGTCATCACAGTAAATCATTGGTCTTTTGTGTTCTAATTGTTACTTTTCCTTTTGTGTTCCTCGTTCCTACTCGTTTCACATGTTTCATTACAAAATTACAAGTTTGGACCATAACATTCAAAAGCCTTTGTCCATACATTGAATCTATAACGAGTATAAGACATTGTTTGACATTGTGAGATCCCACATTGGTTGGTAGAAGATGAAACATTCTTTATAAGGGTGTGGAAATCTTAGACGAGTTTAAAAAACCTATACCTGATAGGAAAAGCCCAAATAGGACAATATCTTCTAGTAGTGGGTTTGGACGGTTACAAATAAACTCCGAATGGAGGTGGACACCAAGCGGTGTGCTAGCAAGAGCAATGAGCCTCAAAGGGAGGTGGATTAGGGGTTCCACATTGATTGGAGAAGGTAACAAGTGCCAACGAGAACACTGGCCTTAAAGGAGGGGAGTGGATGGTGAGATTCTAGGGAAAAGGACAATGAAATGTCCTTTATAAGGATATGAAAATCTCTTTCTAATAGACACATTTTAAAACCCTTGAAGGAAAACCCGAAAGAGAGCCAAAAAAGAACAATATACACTAGTAGTGGGTTTGGACTATTACAAATATATTAGAGCTAGACACTAAGTCATGTGTCAGTAACGAGACTAAACTCAGAATGGAGGTGAACACCAAGCGATGTACCAACAAAGGCAATGGGCCCCAAAGGGAGGTGGGTTGGGGGTCCCACATCGATTGGAGAAGGTAACTGAGTGCCAGCGAGAACACTGACCCTAAGGGGGGGGGGGGGGAAATGGGGATTGTGGAGATCCCACATCGGTTGAGGAGGGCAACAAAACATTCTTTACAAGGGTATGAAAATTTCTCTTTAATACACGCATTCTAAAACTCTTGAAGGGAAGCCCGAAAGGGAAAGCTCAAAAAGAAGAACATCTACTAGCAGTGGACTTGAGCCGTTACAACTTAACAATAATTACCCATTTAACTCGATTCATTCGTGAGAAAGGAGCTGGTTTGTGAATGTTTCACGTACACTATGTTGGATGGGTGAGTGAAGTAATGAATATCAGATGCATCAAAACATCATTCTCTCCTGGTTTTCTACCCCTCTTTTCAAAGAACAAATCTATAAGCTACAAAAATTTCACTGATTAAAAAAACTAACAGACAATACAGATCTCTCCTTCCAAAGACTAACTTGTGGCTTTATTACTTACCACTCAAAACTGGGAAGACAAGGATGCCATGCCGCTCATGCTCTGCCATTGACATGTCTAGTTCTTTCTTTACACCCTTCTCCATTCAAGAATCTTCTCAGCCTGATACTCATTTTGTTTGCCATCTCTCTCTGGTGGTGCAGCAAGCAAGCAAACGTTCTTCTTTCCTGTGTATCATCCTTATTCAAGATGGAGGGAAGAAACGGTTTAGATTAAAAGGAAGAGTATAGAACTCTTCATTCCTGGCATCTCCCTTGAATGTCCTGAACTTAACCCACCATGGCATTCCCCTATCTCTAGCACTGTCTTTGTAGTCAAGTGTGTTATCCAAGAAGACTGCAACAATGAGAGCTACTGATGGCGGGGAGAAGAAGATAGTGTTTAGGAAGTCGTTGAACTGGACATCGAAACGAAAAATCATGTCAGAATTGAAAGAAATGGTTACAGAGTTCATGTTTCTGGATAAAGTTAGCTCACAAACTCACCCATCCAGCGTTGGTGTGAGCAGGGCCATGGAAAGCCTTTGCAGTGTACTCCCTAAAGTAATCAGGCACAGACAAACCCAAGAACAATGCTACACCAGTTATGAACAAATTCCTCATTGAATTCATGTTTGTGAATTGCAGAAATGATAACCCCACGGAGGCTGAGAAAGAGCTATTGATTAACAAACATTCCATTTCCAGAGATACACAAAATGAGAATCATTGCAGAATGAACTCACCAACAAGACCAAACAAGACACAGTAAACAGCTGCAAATATGGTGAAGGGTATTGAAGCAAACAATGCACCAAATTTCCCTGCAGGAAGTTGAAGAGTCCAATTATGATGAACTTGAGCAAGAAAAGATGCAATAATACATTGTTTAGTAATGGCTGCTCACCTAGAATTGAGAAGAATATCATGAATCCAGCTGAAATCTGGATAACCCTTCGGCTACCGACACGAGTACTTCCAAGCAGCCCAACGTTTTCTCTGTATTAACATTCAGTCAGAAAACTTGTATCCAATGACACCATGCAAGAAGGAGAAGCCCATTGATAAACTTACACCGACACAGTTGATCCAGATAGTGTTCCAAACAGACCACTCAGAAGAATCCCAATTCCCTGCCAACCGATACCTCGACTCAGAACATGAGCTGGAGGCGGGGTTGCGCTTGCTAAGCGTGACGCTGCCTTAAACGCTGCGGTCGACTGCAATACGACGATATGTTACCCATATTACTCTTTCAAGTTATTATATATTGTTAAGAGTAGGGAAAAGTACCTCAATCAAAGATACCATTACTGCAGCCATCATCCCAAACGCATGGCCTGCATCAAAAGTTGGAGCACCCCATTGAAGAGGGTATGGAATCTTAATCCTGAATGATGGTATTGGATAAAAAGGGGTAAGTTCTCTTATATCTTTCGATATCAACAAGTGAAAATGAGACCAAGTTTAGATATCAACCATGGAGCAGAAGAAATGAGGTTGGCCCTATCAGTTCTACAATTGATTTGAGTTAATTCTGGGCGATGTTTGTATGCACCACTGGCTGTCAAGAGATGTGCATATGCCCATATCACCGTGACAGATATAAGAAGCGCGAAGCGTTCGAGTATTGGAAGTTGCCTTGTATGAAAGCCTTTGAGATACTGCAAAAAGAAGCAAACGGACATGAAAAACAAGACTTTAATAGGTGTTGTTTGCAGTAGAATGATATCTAAGCACCACCTGTGAGAAGGCTATGAAGAGTATAAGCATAGGAATGCCAATTTCCACGCATCTTCCAACCTGGGTATGAATTTCAATGGTCATAAATTCATAAACACACACATATACGCGCACACAGAACCAAAATCCAAGTATACCACTGGGAAGCCTCTGTCAAACAAACCAAAGCCTACAAGTGCTATCACAGGAACCATTCCAAGAGGACTGAAGAACCTGAAATGAATGATGAACTTCCTTTCATTAACATTTAGTTTGAAATAGATTTAGTGATGTCCTGATTCTTAAGAAAGTTCTACCTGGAACAAATAGCCCATAACTGGCTATATCCCAAGATAATCTGTATGCTTGATGACACAATTAGAGCTCCTTGAACTGCTTTCATTGTGCTTAGAAATCTCTGTAGAAGCAACACGATTGGAGACAAATGGAAAAGTTAAGAACAGAAACAAATATCGAAATGGGTTACTGACCAAATGGGGGTCCTCGATTCTTGCTAAAGAGGAGTCATGAATGATGGAAATGATCGGAACCATAAAGGCATAAGAGCCGCCGATAACAGTCGGCAATCTTGTTCCAAACAGGGTTTGTAAAAGCGTATTGATCCCTTCAACGAAAAGCAGAGTCTGCACCACTCTTACTTTATCGCCCTGAAACAGAGTTTCAAACCCCATTTTCAAAAAACACACAGAGAAGCAGAAAAGCATATTGAAATGGGGAATATGGAACGTTTTCTCACATCATCGCCGCCCATTAAAGGAACAAGAAAAGAGGGGATCATCACAGCAGTACCCAACGCCAGAATGTAGTGCTGAAACCCCAAAGCTATAGCTTCCCCTGTTTTCAGCCATTAACATCAACAAACAACAATGATTACAAGCTCAGAAGAAAAACATCAACCAGTTGATTTAAAGGAGTATTACCCCAAGATGGGTTAGAATCAATACAATACTCCAAGCCCTGAAGTTGATCCATCGGTGGATGGCTAATCTCCTCTGGTTTTGGAGCTTCCATTACTCACAAAACCCACTTCGCAAACTTCCAATATACAAAAATCCCAAATGGGGTTATAGTAAAATAACCAAAACGTCAAAGGAAAGAAGAAAAATCCCAAGCCAGGCGCTCTCGTTTGAAACAAAACTTGAACAAAAACAGAGAAAACGAGAAGAACAATGGAAAAAGCAGAGGAGTGGGACTGAAATTAAAAAGTTACAGAAGAGAGAGAATCAGCCAAGTTGAGGGCTGAATGCAGAGAGAGAGAGAGAGGGAAACACACAGAGTTGCCGCCCATTAGCAACAAGAGAGCAAGCGAGCGAGAGGCTTTTTGAGGTATTCACCCATTTTTCCGCCAGACTTACCAAAACGCCCGTTGTATTTTTTGACATTCCCGAAACTACCCTCGTAAGAACTGCCAAACTCAAATGTTACCGTTGCCCACTCAACCTCTTCTTCATCTTCCTTATAATAAATAAATTAATTAAATGTGCAGTCATTCTGTACCTTAAAAAAAAAAAAAAAAAAAAAAAAAAAAAAAAAAAAAAAAAAAAAAAANTGTTCCAGAATTATTAAATTCCTTGTCTGATATTTCAATTTTCCTTCAATAAAGAAGAAACCAGACAACTTTATTTTAATGCACCAAATTTTGGTCAATTTTGGTGGACAATTAAATGATTGTCCAACAACTTAAAGCCTTAGAATCTAGGTACACGATTAGAGGTACAAATCCTTGTAAGATCTCACATTAGTTGAAGAAGAGAACAAAACATTTTTATAAGGATGTGAAAATTTCTTGGGAAGTTTGAAAGAGAAAGTCCAAAAAGGACAATATTTGCTAGCAGTGGTCTTAAGTGTTACACATTCTCTATAAATTTTCAATATATATTTTTATTTTTTAAATATTAACGTTCGTCTAACATTAATATTTTGATATGATATGATCAGGGTCGGCTCCTTTATTTTGCTTGACACATTGTTGTGTAAGAATATAATATGAATTAGGGATAGGAAATTGTGGGAATCATGTGGTCAACATTTATCTTTTTACTTGTTTTTCATCTTTAGTTCTCTTGTGTTCTCCTTTTATTTGGTGCATGATTAGGATGATTGGAATAAAGGGGAATCTAAAGTTAAAGATTTTTAATGGTGAAAATTTGGATTATGTTATGCACGGGTAGAAATCGAACGAATGGTTATCCATTTTATTTTTATAGGTTAGAGTTTAAGTTAGAACCCGAAACTCTAATAATATTTTCAAGATTTTTAAGAATATTGTTCCGACAACAAAAAAAAAAAAAAAAAAATAATCTCGCCAAAAAAATAAACTCCCAAATTTGGGAGGACATGAGTACCAATAAATTTGGTAGTATCACTATCATAGTCAACTTTATTCAATAAACCACATTAAATGCAATAAATACATAAGAACATCAATAAAGTAGGATTCTTTTGCCCAAATTGTAATGAATACTAATTTGGGTTATTTTGTCTTGTAGATGTCATTTTTTGTTTTATAGTAAGTAAAAATTGGTTTTATTTCGAGAATTTTTAGGGATGATATATGTTAGTGGAGAATTTTCTTGCGGGTCGTCGGCTCTGTTGCTTCCATCGAACACCCCCTTTCTTCTCGATCTACAGAGACACAATTTTCTTAGAGAGAGAGCCCTTTGTGAACAAAAATGACGAGCTAAAATTTTTCTAGAAACTCGATATCCATTTTTATATGAAACGAGTGATTTATAAATGAAAATGGAGGTTAAGGGTTAAGGATGAATACAATTAATTTAGCAATGAAAAGTGAAGAGAAAATAAAAAAGGGAAAAAAGAAAAGGAAAATGAGGAATCAAGTAGGATTCAGAAGTCTGACTAGACACCAATGTTCTGCAGCTTCGAAATGGCTGCCTTTTCTTTTTCCTTTTTTTTCTCTCTCTCTCTCTACGAACTCTCAAATTTTTATTATTTTTTTATTTTTATTTTTTGGTTAATCATACTCGTGACCTTATTTCATGTCCGAGGGTCGAGGGTATCGAGAATATAATCTTGTCTTTGGCCCCTTTTATCTAACCTCCACTCTTTCTTTCCTTATTCTCCAGACTGAGAATCCTCTCCACATTTGGGTGAGTCCCTACGAAGCCCCGACCTCGCAGATAAAATGAACGTATCTTTGATTCTTTTGTTGTAACTTTAATTCTGCTTTAATTATTATAAACACGTTCACTAATAAATTATTTAGATGCTATGGAAAAGCTAAAATAATTCTTTTTAGATGTCCGGGTAGTAAAACTAGTGTTCTAGGTTGACTAAAGGTTAAGGCTCAAGTTTGGTTGTTTGAAAAAAAAAATGGAAATAGACATCACATAGGCTTGGGAAGAAGAGAAATGATTCAACTTCAAAACCTGACATCGTTTATCAAAAGCTAGAATCAAAAACATTACGAAATGACTCCTAATAACGACATGGCCGATTGGTGAGATTTCAACTAGATCATAATACCTATAATCAAAATCATAAAGAGTATAGAGACCAAACTAAAATGGACAGGTAGAAAGGGTCGATATAAAGGGGAAAATGGATGCAAGTTTTCAAGAGAAACTGTCACCCTCTCTGAACTTAAGAGCTAGTCTTTACATGCATCCATGGGACAAATCTTTAGCTTCACATGCCATCTCTTTCTTTTCTCTCTCTATGAAAAGAAGACAAGTTGTGTTGCATTCCAAAAGCAACTGTGCAGAAAAGCAGTTTTAAGGAAAAAGCTAGCAAAGAGGGTGCAAAAACACATAAATCCACTTCCACCAGCTAGCAAGCACACCTATTTTAGTCTGGGAGAATAGACAGTTTTCTTCGCCTTCCAATTCCAAGGAATCCTATATCCTCGAGAGTCGAGTGAAGGGAAAAAAAGAAAATAAACACAACAGTTAATGGATGCCAATGGCTTACCTTTTCAAGCTGACCCACGTACTTGTGTTGAAAATATGCAACCACCTGCAACAAAAAAGAGATACTCAAACATTATAATTACAAACCAACCCATCTCTTATAATCAAGGAAGAACATTTCTTTTTCCACCATGATTGTTTTGGACAACTTTCCTACAAGCCCCGGTTCCTAAGTTGAAACATAAGCAAGTTTTTGAGTTAATTTGGAACAAAAGGCAAAGGGTGGGGGCCAAGGTGGGGTAGGAGGTTTATTCCTTCGCGATTCTTTAGGGGAGAGGATAACTTTCGGCAAACATGGATCGAGAAGAATTAAAGGCTGATGGTATTGACTTTAAGGCATTCGGTGATGTTTGGTAGTGTGTGAGATGATTTAGTGAAGACACCTAGAATCAAGCTTTGATTGTGGGGCTTATAATTGCTTGGAAATTTGGCTGTTTGTAGGGTTGAAGATCGAGGGGCGTGGGGAAAAGGATAGGACAGAAGCTGTAAGGCAAAGACGTCACTGTCTCAATATGGCCAACTCCTATAATAGAGGATCATTTGTCAATTTTTTCACTGACTTGATGGTTATCAGACATGGATCTTGTACATCTACGTTAGCTAGGGTTTCTGATTTCCTCTCTCCTCTTTTTGTTTTTCTCATTGGAGGGAATCCACCTACAAAGGCAAAAAGATAACAGAATACAGATAAACCAAGGCTGAACATTGTGCACAAAAATCCCTTCATCTTCATATCCGAGGGAAGTAGCATGGAAGTCAGCTAATGGTTTGGAAATTTAAACCTTAAGCTAACTAAACTTCTAACAAGTGAGCAATCACTAAAGATCTCATTAATACTACGCAATAGAGAGAGAATCTATTAAAAGTTACCATGTACTTGATGTGCAGCCAATTTTTCCCCCTCATGAAACTCATACAAAAAAAAATCTTCCTCCATCGTTTGGCGAAATTTGTTGGCCCCTGGATAATCTTTACAAGTCAAGGAAATTGATGAAAAAAGAGTTACAAGCAATATTGCACCTTCAAAAGAGGAAACTAGCGGTAACTGATGTATTACATTTTCATTCTGACCGTATATATGGTTAGTCACAGATATAAAGCTACAATGTGGCCATTTCCCTAGCCTTTCAAAATGGTTTAGAACTAAATGTTATGGAACAGAATTCATTGCTCTCAGGATCTTCTATCCAACTTTCTCTCACTGGATCTTTTTTCTTCAGCCTCTCGCCGTCTCTGTTGCCTGTCAACAGGAATGATGCACATCAACATTGAACTTTCAGATACAACTAAAAGTTGGCACTCTTATTGTTTCTAAGATATCGCCAAGGCAGTACAATATTTATGATTAAAACAACCAAAATCGACGTAATCTTCTCAAAAACAGTACAAAAAACTTACGCAAAAGCCATATATCCAGAGCCAACATTAGCAGAAGATAGTAAAGCTGTATGAGCACTAGCTGCATCTGAGCCACCAGAAATTACTGGGTTTCTTCTATCACCATCTACCTGATATGAATTAAACAAATACTTAGCAATACAGTGTACATTGCTGATATGAACAACTACATGGTGGTAAGGCATCACCTTATCCCATTTTGATTTTTTGTTTTGTCTTCCATCCCTAGGAATGGCATCAGATGCAGAAGCTGCTGAATGTAGACCACTACCAACGATAGCTGAAACACCTGTAAAAGGAATAGACAGAAAAACACTATAAGAAGAATAAATCACAATCAGAAAGAGACTAAAGCACTACTGGTATGAACCTGAAAAAGGTATATTTAATTTAGGAGCATTCACAACTGTACCACCAGGTTGTGTTCCTCCTGAAACAAACTCCATCTTCGGACTTTTCTTCCTTTCCAGCTCCTTCCTCTCCATCTCACGTTTCATGTCAGCCTCTATAACAAAATAGGCAACATCAGAAATAACATTTGAATTTGATAATAAGCACATGTAAATAATGCAGTTGTTTGTACTTTGCAATATGATCTCCAGTCTCTACCACCACATACTAAATTTGCATCTTGCAAACGGGTAAAAGTAGAACATGCAGAGAATATGGATCAACGTAAATGCTTTTTACTCATGAGAGGAGAAAGACAAATGCTGTCAATTCTGCAAATTTTAGATCTTCGATAACTCTAAATGTCAAAAGATGCCTAATCAGACCGTTCATGATGGCAGAAGCATTACAGTATGGCAGCCAGAATTACTGTAATAACATCTTAAGTGATCTTTTCAACTTGTCAAGGTTACTTAATATGTTTTATTTAATTTATTATTTTTGTAAAAAACACGACCTGACTAATTTAATTTAAGGTACTACTTAAAAAATGTCATGAATAACCAAGAGCATGTGACTTTTTGATAAATGATAAGGAGAGACACGAGGAAGATATACAGAAGGAATTGTCAATGACCTATTTCATTATAGTAGTCACTTTTATCATATCCATGCGGGTCAAACACATCCTTACTGAAGCAAGACCCAATCTGGTCAATATCTTGATACCTCACAGCATGTAATAAGAAATCAGGATTCCGGTAGTCCTTTCTATTGCGTACTTCAGCATTGAAGCTTTTTCCAGCTTTCTTATACTCAAGAAACTTATTGATTTTCCTCTGCATGTAAAATAAAATAAACAATCAATAAAAATAAGTGACAAGAATATCAATTTATACCCCTAAACTTTGGAGGTTGAATCAATTAAAACCTCAAACTAATAATTTTATCAATTTAAATTTTAAACCTTTAGGAGTGAATCAACTTAGACCATTCATTAGTAATTTAAAACTATTTTTACTTAGTTCCATTTAAAATCAACTCAAAATCACCTAAATAAAACTTTTCTTCTCCCAAAGTCCTATCAAAACAGTAAGAAAAATGTAATATCAAGGTTTAATTTTTTTTTTTAAAGGAAAAAAGTACAGTCGTCGGCCGTACCTTGCTGGCCATAGAGTGCGTGTGAGGAAGGTGAATACACGCCAAACAACCGTTTATCTGTCGGATTTTGAGAGGACTGGAGAGTTTGGGACGTTTTAAAGCTAGATCAAGGGTTAATTAGAGGAGAAGCTCAAAATAAAGGAGTTTGAGTAATTGAAGTTGGTGGAGAAAACCTATCTTTGCCAGAGAGTTTTGAATTCCTGGGCAGCCAGAGGTCCAAATCATTTGAGGATTGAAGGGTTTCATTCATGGAACTGTGGGCTTGAGCAAGATTGAACCAATTTGGGCAAAAAGACACATGAAGGGGAAGACCATATTCGAGCTCAAGGGTAAGACCATGGGTCTTCCGTTTGAACTTTACCAAGAAAATTCGTACTCAAACACTAACGATTTCTCACAAATCTTGGACCTATAGATTCGTGTCAGTGAGCTTTATAACTTTGAAGGGCCCAAGACGAGGTCAAGCAAGGAGATTGGAACTGGAAATGTAAGTTACAGTTCTGGGTTTTTGAGAAACTTCAACAGACAACACTCCCTTAACTCCAAACAAAACTCCATGGTTTTTGAACCATTGAACTTGGCTAAAAGAAAACTCCAACTTTGCTGAAGGGAGCAGACACCCTTGGGGCTTGTCGCACGAGAATGGAACAAGAAGAAACGAATCGAGGGAGGCTCATGGCTGGAGGTTGAAGACAACCGGTCCAATTGGACCACTCCAATTGAACTACTTTACTCATTTTTTGCACGATTTGGCCTATTAGGAGTTTTCAAGTTAATTTCTTTGTAGTGAACTTCTCTGGTCGATAGGAGCCTGTAGTACTTTTATGAGTTAGTAGAACTAGGTTAAACCCTGTAAATTCATGAACCCTACGAGAAATATAAGAGTCTTGTGGGTGTGGTTAGAGGGTCTCCAACCAATCCCTAATCATGATCTTGCTCGGATGAGAGCAAGGGACCACATAGGTAAATGAGTGTTGGCTAGATTGAGAGTCGTAACCTCCTTTAACGCTGCTTACATTATGTGGCCTACTAGAGGATGCCAACTAAACCAGACTAGAAAATTTGAGAATAGTGTCCATAATGGTATGACGAGAACGATAAGTTGGAAGATGACGAGGTTGCGCCCAGAAAGTTAGCCATAGGTCTATGATGATGACGACGATGAAAGGATCTAGTAGAACATTTAGTCAAGATACCTTAGAACCCCAAGAACAAACTACGAGAGTTGACAGCTCAGATGGGAACAAACTATGAGAGTTGACAGCTCAGACAGGGCTAAGAAAAGAGAACTTGCGACTGCACCATGACCCTAATTTGAGCTTAGGTAAACAAAGTAAACATGGCCTATAGCCTAGGAAATGTTGTAAATTAGAAATGAACTCCTTAGTCCGAATAAGTCATCGGAACGAACAAATGAACCAATAACAATAAGACTTAAAAATAAACTAAGAACTACAAGCATGCAACTAATTGAGTGTTTTTATACTCATCCATGCAACTTCAATCTTTTTCAGATGAAAGCCAGGAGCAGCTGAGGAATCAATGCACACGAGCTGTGGGGATATAGGGGATGGGACAGATCGATTACAAGAAATTACGGACGACAAAAGTAGGAAAAATACTTCACGTCAGTTAGTGACAATCTGTGGCTCGAGTCTCTTGAAAAGTGTATCATTACAAGAAATTACCACGTCATTCTTTCAAAATAAGTAGGAAAAATCATGCATAAGGAAGTTTTATACATGTGAATGTTTTGTGTTAATGATTTCAAAACGAAATTCTCATAGAGGGTCTAAATTGATTAGCTTGTGAAAGTTTAGAGTTTGTACCATAGTTTTTTCCCCTAAAAAAGATTAGGCCCTGAATTATTGCATCCTGCAGACCTAAAAAAATCATCCTGCACTAAAACTTCTACTTAAAGTCCCCGTGAGCATGCACATCCTAAATTTTTCTCCTATCAGAGGGCCAAAGAACAAGAACCAAACCCATCAAGGTCATAAACCAAGTCACACATAATCACCAACGAAGAATACCTTCAGTTCACCAACATGTTAACACATCCTAACCCCGTACCCTGCCCGTGGAATTAATAAACAACTCAGGCTATTGATTTGAAAACCCAAGAAATGGTTAAATATATTCCATAGATATCAACTGCTTTATGTTTCTTATAAAAAAACTAGATCGACATTCAAGAGTGCATACCATTTGGGGAAAACAATTAAAAGCTCTTCAGAACATAAGTAGTCATTATATCAGAAATGAAGCTTACTTGCAGCTCCTCTGAGCATTTGTCTTTTGGTGGTGGCGGAAGAAACTTGTCCAAAGGATTGATATCTTTTTTCTCCTCTTCAACAGTTTCCTCAACTTTTTCAGTTTCAGATTCCAGTATTATGTTGTTCATTGAACCAGAATGTGGTGATTCAGAAATTTGAGGAGTGGCTAAATTGTTTGGTGTTGGAACTCTTACAGTCCCGGGAGATGTTCTATCAAAATCACCTGCATCATAAAAATTAAAAAATAAAGTAAAGTAATCAAGGAGGAGGAAAAAGGAGAAGTGACCATAATCAACACAAGACATTGCTGCTACCTGAAGATAGTAATTGGAGGTTAAATCTTGAATATTTATCAAACATCAAGAAATCATCCCAAGATAATTAACCTTGAGGAATAAAAAACTTAACATAATAAAACCCCAGAGCCAATCAAATAACTCTGCCTAGCATATATGATTATGATCCATGAAAGGGTAAACAAAATCCTACTCCTTGCTAGTCTTTTGAAGATATACTAATTTTTCGGCCAACATGCTGTAGAGCCTTTAGATCCTGAAATAGCCAACATCCTAAGCTTCCACCCTTTTCCAGTAATGATTATGGTACACAAGTAAGGACATGTTACGATATGATCACGAGAGTGTCAACCTTATTGCACTTCCAACACGAGGCAAGGCCATACAAAAACGATTTCATGATACCATTCACCAAACGAAGTCTACAAATGGAGAAGGAAAATCCAGATTTTCATAAGACAGGAAATTAAATAAAATAACATGGATGAACGGCTACACAAATAAGGATTGATGGTAGTACAAAGTTTTCTAGAGCAGACGAGTATTAACTATGCGCTTGGAGCATTGTTAGATTATAAAAATGAGAAGAAGCAAAGTAAATTTTCACTATTAAAAGAATCATACAAACCATTGGTGCCTAAAAGCTCATCGCCAAATGTGACACGACCAGATTCTTCAATTTCTCCATCCTGTATGTAAACAGACGAATGCAAAATTATTTTCAATAAAAGATTTCTCACGGATGGGCTGCCTTAATTCCCATAAAAGCTAAACTTAACAAACATCTACAGCAACAGAACAACGTGGAACCGCCCATCTTAGTTCGACGCTATATTGATTGATTTATTTATTTTCCAGTTCTTTGAAATGTACAATACGCATTCCACTAGAACTTTAGCCAGCGACGCTTCCCACCAAACAAACAGAGATGATGTAAGTACCTCGGCCTCTGGAGACATTGCGGCTTCGTCGTGACCGTAATCAACTATCGCAAGCGTCCCCCTTCTTCTACCAGAATTATCTTGTAATAGCATTGGCGACATTGAAACCACAGCCTGGGGCGGCTGCGGAGTGGAAGACCCGAATTTGAGCTTCTCTGGGGTGAAATTTTCATCATCAACCGGCGGCGTCGAATCATTAGCAGATTCACTGACAATCATTCTATCGCTGTTTACAGCTGACTCTTCTTCTGCAACCCTAACTCCATAATCATCCTCTCCTCCCTCATCTTGCCTCTGCTGGTGCAGTTCACTGTCTTCTTCTTCTTCTTCTTCTTCTTCTTCTTCTTCTTCTTCTACGTCTTCAACGTCTTCCATATCATCGTCCTCGTCATTATACATCGAGAGTAAAGCTATCCCTTCGGATTCTTTCTTCTTCGATGCCATGAGAGCTTCGATTCAAGGTACCCGGCAGGAAATGGTTCAACAACAAAGAAATTGGACTATGAAATCGGAAGTCGGATCTCAATTGAATCCAGACAGCTTGGGATTTTGAATCAAATGTCGATGCTAGGGAGAAGGGTTTTCCGTTTCCCGGTTGGACGATGCCGGCAAAATTGAAGAAAACACTGTCCCATTGATATTGAATTTGGGCTTCCAAGTGTTTGAACTAGCCGGTTTGGGGAAAGCATCATACATGGGCCAAAAGCCTGGTTTAAACTTGGGCTTATACAATAAAAGCCCAATTAAGATTGGACCACATCCCTCATTTTCCTAGGCTAAAAAATGCTTACAAGTTTCCTCTCTTTTTTTTAATACTTGGGTTAGGGATATTTATTTACCCTACACGGCGGGGTCCGTGTGAAAAATCTCGACTAAATAGAGAACGAAAAGAGTAGAGAGAGATTTCTACACGGGACCAAAGACAGGGATTGTATTCCTCATCCTCGTCCTTGCCCACAACCTTTTTACGTATTTGAAAGTGGCACATGATTTGAGTATTTTAAAAAATACTCAATAAATGACCCTACTATTGGAGTGATGGAACGCAAACACATACAATCTTGAATAAGAATCTATCATTTAAAACCACAATATCTTAAGTGGCTTCAGTCCGAACAAATTGAATGTGTACTACTTTCCTGCATATGGCCCACGCCCCTAGAAAATTAGGGTCTTTACAAAAACCATCATCGTTAATACCAGACGATAAAAATCAAATTTAGTAATATCAGACGATTAGTTGGATAAGCGTGATGGTTGAATAAAGTAATTGGATGATGGAGGGCATAATGGGAAGAACAGACAAACAATTAGTGGGTTCTATTCCTCTACACTCCCAACTCATTTTTCCACTTTTTTTTATTTTTTTTTCCCTTAATTCTCTTTTTTCTATACAAATTAATATTTTTTTAATGACCCTAAAAAAAACAAAATAAATTCTTAAAAGCTGGGTCAAGAATGGATTTTCTCGAGGGCANTTTCGTCCTTTTGATACACAGTGGAATAGTTCGTAATTTCCCGATGAGATGAGGACAGTTTAGTCAATTGACAGTTATTCACACGACTCCGCTCTGGGTGGGATGTATGTCCTGGAGTAGCCCTCGGACCTGCTGCATTGTAGGCCGTTTCACCGCCGTCTCCGCCGTACACAGATACGCTACACGGAGGCTTTCCACCATTTCCGATTCCCCGCCGCCGAGCCGTAGTCTAGGGTCTATGGCCTCTAAAGCTTTTCCCTCTCTTACCATCCTTCTCACTCCGACCACCGTGTCGGCACTTCCCGGCATCCCCGTCAAAAGCTCCATCAACACCACTCCGAAGCAGTACACGTCTTTCTCCACTTCGCCGCAGTTGTCCCCGCCGACATGTCGGAACCCAAACCCGCCAATTCGAGGCTCGAAGTCGTCGGCCAACAAAATATTGGACGTCACCAAATGCCCGTGGATGATTGGTTTGGATCTGGCGTGGTGGAGATACGCCAACCCACGTGCGATCCCGACGGCGATGCGGTGGCGTGTTAGCCAACCCAGCTTCTCCGGTGACGATAAAAGAGATACACTAGAGTGGTTGTTGTTATTGATTTCCCACGTGTCGGTGCTCCAATCCTCCACGTTGGGCTGGCCGGTGGGAAGCTCGTGAAGCCACCGGTGGAGGTCGCCGTTCGCCATGAACTCGTACAACACCAATTTCTCTTTACCTGATATTGAAGAACAGGACACAGACATTAACAAAAACATTAATGAGCTCTGACTGTTTTCGGATTATATATATATATATATATATATGTATGTCCGGAATTACGACTCTCCGTAATAGCATGGTATTATACCATTTATTCAACCCTTTACTTTTGAGTATACTTTTGAGGCTCACAACTTATTTATTCGATATTTGAAGATTTTAGTGACATGGCTAAGCTAAAACGCTCTCTCCCAACAATCCTACACTCGAACAATCTCCCATTAATTGAAGCTAGACTCCTTCTCTAGAGCCCTCGAACAAAGTCCTCTCCTCGAATAGTCTTCTCTTAATCAAGGCTCGATTCTTTCTCTAGAGCCTTCGAACAACTTCACCTTTAATCGAGGCTCAATTCTTTCTCTAGAGACCTCGAACAATCTCCCCTTAATCAAGATTCGACTCTTTCTCTAAAGCCCTCGAACAAAGACCTCCCCTTGATCAGTCTCCCCTTAATCGAGGCTCGACTCTTTTTCTGGAACTCTTGAATAGCCTCCCCTAAATCGAGACTCTCACTCCTTCTCTGGAGCTCTCGAACAACCTCTCCTTAATCGAGTCTCGACTCCTTTGAAACTTTTGAACAAAGTCCTCCCCTCCAACAGCTTCCCCTTAGTTAATGTTTAACTCATTCTTTGTTCGACATTTGAGGACTCTATTGACATGACTAAGTTAAAGGCATGACTTTCATACTATATTAGGAATCACGACTCTCGAAAATAATATTGTTCACTTTAAACATGAGCTCTCTCATAATTTTGGTTTTTCTCATACTATTGAATCTAGGATTAAGGAGTAACTCTCTCCCAAGATTCCTCAAATTCCTCCAAGCAAATCAATCAGTCATTCATAAACGACACGATTAAACATACCTGCAATGCAGTAACCAAAGAGCGGCAACAAATTGGGATGTTTGAGTGAAGAAAGCTCCTCAAACATGGCTACAGCCGGCTCGCGATGAACAGAAGTAGCCGATTCAAGGACTTTGATTACCACATGGATATCGCCGGGAAGGACGGCTCGGTAAACAGGGCCACACCTGCCCTCTGCAAGAAGGGACTCTTTACCGAAATGCGCCGTAGCAGCCATCAGATCCTTGAAGGTGAGACTAATCAATGGCTTCTCGAACAACACAACCGGAGCTGAAGATGGTTCCTTAATGTCAGCAATCCAGGAGGATCCAGACTCTGTCCCGAAAGCGAACGGCCCAGATTTCTCCATCTTGAACTGAACTTGGACGGGCGTGGAAATTGCCCATTTGTTCTTTTCCCTCATCATTCTCTTTCGTCTCCACCATAGCCACATTATTACAACAGCCGACGCTAAAAACAAACCCCCTGCCCCAGCCGACACCGCTACAACCAGAGCCTTCGCTTTCCATTTGGGTTCGCCTTTTTTCACTGATTCCTTAATGGGTTTGTGTGAATGGATGGTATTGTTCCTCTGGACGGCTCTGTCTCTGGCTCTGGCTCTGTCTCCGGCGTGGGGATTAATATGAACTGAAGTAATCCCAGTTTGAACGAACGCAGATTTCCCAAATTTCTTGTAGTTTTCGGAGCTAACAACTCCCTTAAACTTGTTTACCGAAACATTCAAGAACTTCAATCGATCAAGAGGAGGAAAATCCGCCGGAAAATCACCACTCATGGAGTTTCCCGACACGTCTAAATACTCAAGCGAATGAAGAACAGAGATGGGCTTCAAATTTCCAGAGATATTACACTTCGAAACAGCCAAATGCGTTAGATTCCTAACCTTCCCCAATCCAGAAGGGAGATACCGCAGATTATTCCGGGAGAGATCCAGAATTTCCAGCCGCGAAAAAACAGAGAGCCGAACAGAGTTAGAGAATCTATTGCTAGAAAGATTAAGAACCCTAATCGAAGAAGAAAAGCCATTACTAGAATTAGATTTAAACCCAACATTTCCACTAAATCGATTGCCGGAAAGATCGACACGAACCAAACTCGGGACGCCCCAGAGCCAATTCGGAACAGAGCCTTCCAGCGAGTTTCGGGAAAGATCAATGGAGCGTAAGTGAGTCAAGTTTCGTAGAAACCTCCAAGAAATAATTCCGGTAAGATTCTTGAAGGGGAGGTTGATTTCTTCAATGGCGCAGTGGGTGGAGTTGAGGGAGTTGACGAAAACCCAGGAGAGGTTGAAGCCGGAGACAGAGTTGAAAGCTCTGGAAACGAATTGTCTGTCGGTAGTGTTGCAAGCAGCGTCGGCGGTGGAAGCTATCAGCGCCGTGAGAATCAGAATCCGGCAAAAACGGAAAGGTTCCATTTCGAGCTATCTCTCTCTCAGGCGCTGTTGTTGATGGAGAGGTTCATTTTATTGAAGGAAGTGAAGTGGGAGAGGGGGGGAAGTGGGGAAGGCCATAGAATAAGGGATGAAATGGAGGCGACTGATTTTTTTAATGAATAAAATATATAATGTTGGAATAGGTGGGAATTTTATTATTAATTTTTAAATAACATATATAAATTATTTTAATTTTATATATAGGTAGTGCATACATACATACATACATACATACATACATACATACATACATACATACATACATACATATATTTAATTTGCGAGACTCGAGATTAAGTTGTAACAGTTTTTTCTTCATTCATTGAAATTTGAATTATAGGTAAAGTAGCTCTGGTAACAATTCAAGCCTACCGCTAGCAGATATTATCTGCTTTGATCTGTTATGTATCATCGTCTGCCTCACGATTTTAAAAGGCGTTAATTGGGGAGAGGTTTCCAAAACCTTATGGAAATGTGGTTCCTCTTGGGGCCAAGTGTCCTGGCTAGTACAACACTTAGTGTTTAGCTTTGATACCATTTGTAACGGCTCAAGTCTATTTTTAATAGATGTTGTCTGTTATGGTTTGTTATCACCGTCAGTTTCACGATTTTAATGCATATAGGGAAAATTTCTCACACCCTTATAAGCAATGTTTCGTTATTCTCTTCAACCAATATGGTATCTCACAACTTTTTTCTTGAACGAGATAAAGCATATTACCTCATTCCCTTCTTTCTATAGATCTGTATGCTCCTAAACCAAAGACTATATTTCATAACCTGATTAAACGAGATAAAACTATTTTACTCTCCTTTACCGTCTCGCTACTGTGGTAGTAAAGGAAGAACACGAAGAGCGAATTCTTTTTACTTGAGAATCTAAGTTTTTGTAATTTTTTTGGCAAAAATAAATAAATGAAAATTTTGATGGAGATAGAAAATAAATATAAAATTATATTATTGACCACTAAATTTAATAATTTTAATTATATGAATACTTTAATCATTTTAATTAAAGTTGTTTAGTAGAATTAATGAAGTACTTTAATAATTTTTTTGTAATTTTAATTAATTAAAGAGAGGAATTTGAAAAATATATATTTAAATGAAAATGAAATGAATGGCAATGATGGCTGAAACAGTCAACGAGAAAGTCTTGACTTAATTGTTCGTCAAACGGCAGCAGCGCAGAGCACGGGACAGTGATGCCATGATTTACATCGAAATTCTATAGAAAAAAAAATTTAATTTAAAAATATTTTATGGATTTTAATGTTTGGTCAACCGATGAAACCACGGATCTCTATTACGACTAATCAAGGCCCACGATGTTTTTGTTCGACATACGAAGATTCTACCTAAATGGCTAAGTTACAAACATGATTTTGATACTATTAGACGAACACTGTCCACTTTGAGTTAGTATTCCTCACTTATAAACCCATGATCATTCCTTAAATTAGCCGATGTGGGACTTTCATCATCCAACAGATACTACTTGTTCGAGACAATAGACCTCCACAATAAAATTGTCACTAAGTTGAGATAAGGTCACACGATTCGAGACTCAAGTCCACCACTAATAGATATTATTTGTTTTGGCTCGTTACGTATCGTTTTCAGTCTCATAGTTTTAAAACATGTTTACTAAGAAGAAGTTTTCATATCCAAACAAGGAATGTTTCGTTCTTCTCTTAAACCGATGTGACTTTACAAGGCCGACCAAGAAAATTTGGGCATTGACTCCTTTGGTCGGTGAGTCTTTTTTACTTTATTTACATGTGGGGTCGAAATAAATGGAAATTAAGATTTTATTATGAACAATGTCAAAATAATAATAATAATTATTATTATAATTATTATTATAAAGAGAAAATAAAAGGGAAAATGCATAATAATGAAAAAAATGAGAGGTGGTTAGGTGTGAAGGCTAAAAGGCCTCCGCGTATTCTCCATTATTACCAAATTTATTTATTTTAAAATTTGAAAATAATTAAAAAAAACAATTTAATAAAATGTTTTATTCCATATATTCACAATAGATTGTGATTTTCTCCCTTTCATATTGAATTTGTCTCCAATTTAGGTCAAATCTCTTGTTAAAGGAATATTTGTATATTTAATAATTTATTACAAACAAATTATAAATTTAGCTGATACCTGAGTAAAAGAATGCAGGAATGAACCAAGACCACATCCGAACGAGAGCAATCTTGAAAATAAGATGACTAAGAAAAACAGTTAAGAATGAGAAATAGAATTGAGATTGAAAGTACAATAATTATTATAAAAGAAAAATATTAATGTTGAATACAAGTTACCAACTGATACCTACCAATAAGAAAAATATAAACTAACTAATTTTGAAAATAAAATAAAATATACTACTAATCAAATCATAACAGAAAAATATTAATTACAAAACATGCTGGAAATACTTGTGTTTGTCTATGAGAAAAGTTTTCACTTTTTGTGTCGAAGGGGACGAAGGGGAATGTTTGTTGGTCTGTGAGAATAATTTTCACCTTAGAAGTAAAAAGTAAGTAACGTGATCATATCAAAGGGAATGTCGGGGCCACAGGGGAAGAAACTTACTATTACAGGATGATCCATTTATTATTATCAATTTTGTTGTAATAGCTCAAACTTATTGCTAGCAAGTATTATCATATTTGAGTTTTTTCTTTCGAACTTCCGTTTAAGGTTTTTAAAACGTGCTGTTAGGGAAAGCTTTTTACACCCTTATAAAAAATGTTTTGTTCTACTCTCCAATTGATATGAGATCTCACAATCCACTCGGGGCTCAATGTCTTTGCTAGCACTTAGCGTCTGTTTTTGCACATCGTCTAGTATCTGACTTTGATACCATTTGTAACAGACAAAACTCATCTCTAGTAGATATTGTCTTGTTTGGACTTTCCCACATTTGTACACCAAGTATGAAGTATAGAGATTTAAACCTCCGACCTCTAAGAGAGAAGTACATGTCAATTAACGTTGAGTCAGATGGACTCGATCAGAATATGATTTCATCCATAAGAGGCCAAACACAAACCGCTAAGTAGAATCTAATATGGAACAACTTCATTAGATGGGTCACATGGACAAAAACCACAACCAAAAAGTGTTTGGTTTTGGTGACCCACTCACTATGTCCTATGGATGTTGAAGTTGGCAAAACAACTTATTCCTCTAATCACACACTAAAAAACGCCTCATTTTCACCTACTCTCTTCCACTCACTATTTCCTTTGGAGACTTTTAAGGATTCTTCCTCTCGGTCTGTGTCTTATGTATCTCTCCGTGCATGATTTCAATAGACTCATCTCGTTTTCAACGATTTTAAAAATACTGTGTGGATTAATAAAAATTTGATTTGTTATTTGGGTGTAACGATCCATGTCCAAGATTCGAAATTTAGATTCGGCACATGATGACCTCAGCATTCCCCTATGACATGATCTGACTGACCTCAGCAAGGTTAGGCTTGCTTATGATAAGGCTAAAAGAAAAACTCGCAAATTTACCTCGAGTTCTTGGTCGATTCTTGGTGGAAATGAACGATCTGTCGCCCAATCTACTTTAGACACGTTCAATATTCACCTCTTGTGGATACCCACGATCGATTTCAACCACTCAACCCGAATTGATTGAATCCCCTTTTCTTTCTCCTATTCTTTTTCTTCTTTCTTCTCCGAACCCTAATTTCTCTATCTCTTTCCCATTTCTTTTCTTGCACATCTCGTCCAAGGAGAACCGTACCCCTGAAATTGGTAAGTGGGGCAAAATACTCGTCGACTTTGACCTGAATTTTTCAATTTTTAGATATTTTTAAATTTTGTTTTTCTTAGATCTTTCGAAGTACTCGAGCACTTTTCTCTTCTACATCTCTTCGAAATTCACACTTTAAACCTCTCGAATAAAAAAAACAAAATTGGGTACTTAAGAGTAACTCCATTAATGGCTCATAATTATTGTTAGATACATCATAATAACCCCCGACAAGCTTATCTCTTCCAACCTTAAACTTCGCTAAACCAACAAACATTGAATGATTAAGCATCTCAACAAACTTCATGTTCTTATTTTGATTCACATAAAACGAAACCAATAATGAGAATTGAATATCTTTTAGGCTGTAAACAAACACTCTAATTACAAACCAACTAAAAAGTAAATCACCTCCCCCTGTTTCACACATGGACACCATCAAAATCCCACGAACAAGAACAAGAACATGAACAAGACCGAACGACTTTACAATTTTTTTTTGTTCTTTATCTATTTTGGATTTGGAGCTGCGGCGGCGGCGGCGGCTGCTGCTGCTGATGCTGTTGTTGTTCGTTTCCTTCCCAAGCCCACACGATGTCCTTAAGGCAAGGCTGTTGAACACAACTCACTGTGGGAAACACTCGCTCTCTTTATTAAGACCAATCGAGAAGAGAATACAAGACACTCTGTAGAATACTTCTGCTTTTTATTGTTTTTAGATTTCTTGGATGAATAACCTAGGTAGGGTGGGGGTATTTATACTAAGAGTAAACAATCTATATTTAACCAATCTAAATCTAGACCTAACCGATTTGAATCTAGACCTAACAAATTGAATCTTTCTCCTAAAATATCTACATCTCTTTCTCCTAAAATCTCTACTAAAATAAATATACTGGGCTCGTACAATTAGGCTTGACTCTATTGGGCTAGTACAATTATTGGGCTTGACTCTATTGGGCTAGTGATGATATTTCAACACTCCCCCTCAGCACTAGTCCTCATTCGCTGCATCATGTTGAGCTGACAGCGAAAGCTCTCATGTTTGCTAGTATTCAACCCTTTTGTAAACAAGTCTGCCACTTGGTCATCTGTCTTGATCTGCTGCATCTCAATTTCTTCCTTTAGGACCTTCTCTCTAATGAAATGGTAGTGCACCTCCACATGCTTTGTTCTAGCATGAAACACTGGATTTTCTGCAAGGCGAATCGCAGATTGGTTGTCGCAAAGAAGTGATATTGGATAGTCAATTTTCTGGTGCAAATCTTCCATCAAGAGTTTTAGCCATGTACTTTCCTGGGCTGCTCCAGCCGCTGCTCTATACTCTGCTTCTGTAGTTGATAATGATACTGTTGGTTGTCTCTTGCTACACCAAGAAATTGTTCCCGAACCAAACTTGAACACATACCCAGTGGTTGACCTCCGAGTATCGTGGTCTCCTGCATAGTCAGCATCACAGTATCCAACTAGCTTGCAGTCTTTGCTTCTTTTGTACAAAAGACCATAGTCGATTGTACCTTTGATATATCTCAAGATCCGTCGAGCTGCATCCAGATGAGGCTTCTTTGGACTTTGCATGTATCGACTCATAACCCCAACTGCATACGAGATATCAGGTCGAGTTAAAGTTAGGTAGATAAGACTACCTACTAGTTGTCGGTACGTTGTTTCATCGTTCAACTCTTTGCCTTCATGTGCACAAATCTTGGCATTTATCTCCATCGGTGTTGAAACTTGCTTGCACTCTAACATGTTGAACTTCTGAAGCATGTCTCTGGTATACTTTTGTTGGCAGAGAAACAGTCCTTCATCTGTGCGATCAACTTCTAGGCCTAAGAAGTGTTTAAGCTCTCCTAGCTCTTTCATCTGAAAGCGTATTGATAAATTTTCTCTTGTTTGATAAATTTCTCTTTCATCGTCCCCGGTGATAATCAAATCGTCCACGTAGACCAACACAATTGTCAAATTTCCTTCTCTTTCTTTGATGAATAGGCTTGAGTCTGCATGCGCAACTGAATAACCACTTTGGGTAAGAAATTCAGCAATCTTACCATACCAAGCTCTCGGTGCTTGTTTCAGTCCATAAAGAGCTTTTCTAAGCTTGCATACATAATTAGGATTAGCTGCACTCTCAAATCCCTTTGGTTGGTTCATATAAATCTCCCTGTCTAGCTCTCCGTGCAAGAAGGCATTCTTCACATCCATTTGCCACAGTTTCCAATCTTTACTTGCTGCGAGTGCTAGCAGAACTCGTACGGTAGTAATCTTTGCCACTGGACTGAATGTTTCATCATAATCTAGTCCATATTGTTGAGAAAATCCTCGAGCCACGAGTCGAGCCTTGTATCTCTCGATTGATCCATCCGGTCGACGCTTTATTTTATAGACCCACTTGCAAGAGACGGGTTTGATATCTCCTAGTCTTGGCACTAGTTCCCAAGTTTGATTATGCTCCAAGGCTATAATTTCTTCCTCCATCGCTTTCTGCCAAACCGAGTTTTGTGATGCTTCTTCATATGTCTCTGGTTCGTAAACTCTATCTTCTACAATAGCTGCATTTGCATACTTAGGATTTGGCCTTCGGATTCTATTTGATCGCCTAAGTTGTTGATGTGTTGTTTCATTTTTATCAGATTCGCTTGATTGAGTCACCTCCTGCTTGTCAATATCAATGTCGCTTGGACTTTCAGATGCATCGAAATTTGATTGAATTTGTGTAGTTTGCTCCCCCAGCTTCTGTTGTAGAATTTCTTCAATGTTTGAATCTGATAAGACTTTCTTCTCCGAGGACCACCATGTAGATGCTTCATCAAAAACTACATCTCTTGATGTATAGTATTTTCCACTTGTTGGATCACAGCACCTCCATCCTTTTCTTTGATTGTCGTATCCAACAAATACACACTTGACTGCTTTCTTGTCAAACTTGCTACGTAGATGGTCAGGCACAAATACATAGCAAACACAGCCAAATACTCGGAAGTAACTAATTGTAGGTTTCATATCCCATAGTATCTCAAATGGTGAGACGAACCCTAGCTTTGGTTGAGGAAGCTTGTTGATCACATGGGCAGCAGTTCGCATAGCTTCAGCCCAAAATCTTCCTGGAACGTTCTTTGCGTGTAACATGCTTCGACAGGTTTCTGCAAGGTGTCGATTCTTTCTTTCTGCTACACCATTTTGTTGTGGCGTGTTGGCACATGTAAATTGACGTCGTATCCCACACTCGTGTAAATATTGATCGAACTCATCTGACGTGTATTCTCCGCCATTGTCTGAACGTAGACAACGAATCTTCGCTCCTACTTCTCCTTCGACCATCATCTTGAATTCTTGAAACTTTGAGAACGTGTCAGACTTTTCTTTCATAAAGAAAATCCACACATATCTTGAGTAGTCGTCAATAAATGTCACCATATACCGCATTCCGCTGATCGATGCTTGTTTGACTGGGCCGAACAAATCAGAGTGAACTAACTCTAATGGTTTCTTTGCTTTGAAACTTGACTCTTTGTATGGTAATTGATGAGCTTTACCATACTGACATCCAGCGCAGACAACGTCTGTTTTGACTTCCAGTTGTGGTAGACCTTTGAGCATAGATTTCTCCATAATCAGCTTCAACTTATGGTAGCTAATATGTCCCAATCTTGCATGCCATAGATCTGTCGTCTCATTCTTTCGGGTCTTGTCAACATAGGCAGACTCTGCAGATAGAACGTAGACAGACTCCACTCTTCGTCCTTCTATCGTCGGCTTTCCTATTATCTTAACATCTTGATAAACTTTTACATCTTCTGGCCCAAACAAGACATAGCTTCCTGATGTTGTTAGTTGTGACACTGACAACAAGTTCTTCTTTATACCCGGTACATGATAAACATTATGTAGCGACACTGTATCAGACTTATTGCCAGGCATGATTGTCGTATTGCCGATTTGAGCAATTGATAACTGTGTGTTATTTGCTGTACGTACCATACGACTTCCTTTGTACTCTTTCTTGTCTTGCAATTTTCTCTGATCGCCAGTCATGTGATTTGAACATCCTGAATCAACGATCCAGTCATTCTCATAGTTGATATGGTCTTCCATTGTCGCCATGAGTGCTAGCTCGTCTTCTTCTATGGGACATAGTACCTCTGCATCCCATTCATCTTCTATCTTCTTTTTGGATATTGCCACATTGTTTTCAATGGTCTTTTTCCTGGACCAACAATCTCTAGACATATGGCCCTTTTTCCCGCAGTTATAGCAAATACCACCAAATCTCGTTCTTTGAAAACTCTTGTTGTCGTTCTTCTGAGCTCTCTCAGGTTGTGCAATCCCTTGGTGGCTTCTTCTTTTGTCACCATTGTATCCACGTCTGGTAGACGGCCTATTATTGCTCTGACTTTCACTCGTGTAGAGTGCTTCTTCACCCTTCAACGTGAAGCCTCCCATTTGTTTAGCCATGGCTTCTTGGCTGGCTAACAAATTTTCGAACTCTACCAGTGATGGTTGAGTGGGCCATCCTTGTACAGCAGCAATGAAGCTTCGATATTCTGGTCGCAATCCGTGGATTATAATCCTCTTCATTCGAGATTCTACAATGGCGGACTTTGGGTCTAGTTCAGTAATCTCCCGACAGATCGATTTGACCTTGTGGAAGTACTGAGCAATCGTCATATCACGTTGTGAAATTGACAACAACTCATTCTCCAGAAGTTGTAGTCTCGTATCATTCTTCTTTGAGAACAACATCACGAATGTGTCCCATGCTTCTTTCGGTGTCTTGTCATCCCAAATATGTTCTAACATCTCTTCTCCGATGGTGGTCTTCAAGGCAAACATTGCTTTGCCTGCTTTGATTCTCCATTTGCGCAAGGCGTCGTTAGAATCCTCCTCTGGCGGCGTAGTTTCACACCCGCCAACGATCTCCCAAAGATCCTGTCCTTGTAAATAGGACATCATGCATGTTGCCCACGTGTTGTAGTTGTTGTTGTTGAGTTTCTTAATTCCTCCAACGATTTGGAAATCACTCATCGTGTTGGCCATACCTCAGTAATACCAAACAAGTTCTTTTGACACAAGACTTGCAGAGTCACAGACTTCTCACGACACAAAAGAAACTCACTCACCACTAATCTCAAGAAATCGTTTCTGATGTGGAAGATCAGGCAGAGCTGCAACCACAGAGCATACTAAGGATTCCAAGAGATCAGATAACCTACACTAACCTCGCTCTGATACCAAATGTTGAACACAACTCACTGTGGGAAACACTCGCTCTCTTTATTAAGACCAATCGAGAAGAGAATACAAGACACTCTGTAGAATACTTCTGCTTTTTATTGTTTTTAGATTTCTTGGATGAATAACCTAGGTAGGGTGGGGGTATTTATACTAAGAGTAAACAATCTATATTTAACCAATCTAAATCTAGACCTAACCGATTTGAATCTAGACCTAACAAATTGAATCTTTCTCCTAAAATATCTACATCTCTTTCTCCTAAAATCTCTACTAAAATAAATATACTGGGCTCGTACAATTAGGCTTGACTCTATTGGGCTAGTACAATTATTGGGCTTGACTCTATTGGGCTAGTGATGATATTTCAACAAAGGCTTCATGTCTTTGTTGTAAAATTGCTTGTATTCCAAGGTATCTCCTGCAGTTTTCTTCACCTCCACCACAAAAAAAGAAGGTGTCACTTCAAATATCTCAGCATCTATACCCAACTGCCCTTTTCTTCCTTGTTTACTTCCCTGGAGTTTCACCATCCCATCTTTCTTCATCACTTTGAACCTCTCCATCTCTGCTATCTCTTCAAACTTCGACACGATTGTCGAAGCTGGTTTCGTCGTCGTGAACCGTGTCGGTGGCCTCTCATTCATATCATTCTCAAACAGACCTGACAGATCAAAACCTTGTGAGAGGGATATGATATCAAATGCATTGAAGGAATTAGTTCTTGTTGGTGGCCTTCCACTCTCAATGCTGCTGTTACTAACAGAGCTTCCCTCGTCTAAAGCGACCTCGACATCGCTTATAGACGAGATGTCGCCTTTGATTTGAAGGGGTTTTGGAGTTGCTACATTTGCCTTGAAACCCTTTTTGAACCAGGAATTTTCCATGAGTGTGGCCATGTTTATTCTTGTGAAAGGACATGGATTGAGGATTCTTGAGAGGAGCTTGCGAGCTTCTGGGGGAAACCATTGAGGGCATTTGAATTCTCCTCTGGTGATTTTTTTGTACATTTCCATTAGATTTTGTTCGTTGAAAGGGAGATAACCAGCTAGAAGAACAAACAGGACAACCCCAGATGACCAAATGTCAGCTTTAGCTCCATCATAACCTTTTTAAGATTAACCAGAAAAACATAAACTTGTCAATGAAAGTCATCAAAAAAATAAACAATCTTAATGAAAATCAAACATACCAAACGGATCATCGATTAGGGAGGAAAATGAAACACGGGAAAAACTTCTCTCTAGCAGATGCGTTTTAAAAACTTTGAGGGAAAACCCGAAAAGAAAAGCAGAAAGAGGACAAAATTTGCCAGCAGTGGGCTTGAACTGTTACAGTTGATATCAGAGCCTTACACCGGACGATGTGCCAGCGAGGAGACTGAGCCTCAGAAGGGGTGGACATGAGGTGATGTGCCAGCAAAGACGCTGGACTCAAAGGGGTAGATTTGGTGGGGTCCCACATCAATTGGAGAAGGGAACAAGTGCCAACGAGGACGTTGGCCCTGAAGGGGGTGGACTGTGAGATCCCACATCAGTTGAGGAAGAGAACGAAACACCATTTATAAGGGAGGGGAAAACCTATCCCTAGTAGAGGAGAAACTCGAAAGAGAAAAACTAGAGAAGACAATATCTGTTAGTAGTGGGTTTGGACTCTTACAGTGGATATCAGAGCCAAACACTGAACGATGTGCCAACGAGGAAGCTGAACCCCAAAAGGGGTGGACATGGGCGATGTGCTAGCAACAATGCTAGCTCCAAAGAGAGATGAATTGGTTGGAGTCCCACATCGATTGGAGAAGAGAACGAGTGCCAACGAAGAAGCTAGCCCTAAGAGGGTGGATTGTAAGATCCCACACCGATTGGGAGGAGAACGAAACACCCTCTATAAAGGAGGAAAAACCTCTCCCTAGCATACACGTTTTAAAAACCTTGAGTGGAAACTTGAAAGGAAAAACCAAGATTTGCTAGCGGTGAACTTGAACCGTTACGGATTTAGATGAAATCAAAGCAAAAGACAAACCTTTTTTGTTGATGACTTCAGGGGCGACATAAGCAGGGGTACCACAAGTGGTATGAAGGAGCCCATCTTGGCGTCTAGACTCAGCCAAAGCACTCAACCCAAAATCCGAAATCTTAAGATTCCCAAACTCATCAAGAAGGAGATTCTCAGGCTTGATATCTCTATGATACACACCACGGCTATGACAATAATCAACAGCACCAATGAGCTGCTGAAAGTACTTACGAGCAGCATCTTCCTTGAGCTTCCCTCGAGCCACTTTGTTAAAAAGCTCCCCACCTTTGACAAACTCCATGGCAAAATAGATCTTGGTCTTGCTAGCCATCACCTCATAGAGCTTCACCACATTAGGATGGCGGACAAGGCGCATCACAGAGATTTCCCTCTTGATTTGATCGATCAACCCAACACGCAGCACTTTCTCTTTATCAATAATCTTAATCGCCACGCTCTGGCCTGACTTGAGATTACGAGCATGGTAGACTTTGGCGAAAGTTCCCTGTCCAAGAAGCCTCCCAAGCTCATATCTTTGCATTAAAATGGTACCCTTTTTCTCCATTTTCAAGGAGAAGAAGAGGAACACGAAAAAAAAAAACAAAACAAAAAACAGGGGAAAACAGGGGAAAAACAGAGATACAGAAAGAGGAAAGAAGAACAGAGTTAAATAAGGAGAGAGGGAAAAGGGAAGAGGTTTAGAAGAAGAATTTGGTAAGAGCCAGGGAGAAATTTAGATGTTTTTGTGGCTGAGAATTGGAAGGGGTAACAGAAATACCAGAAGGGTGACCCAATAAAATTCAGCCTAGGCAAGTGGGATTCAATATCAATATCGATATCGATATTGATATCGATTTCAAATTGGTTGAACTGATGGGTATCAAATCTAATCCATTTGAGTGTCAAGAAAAGTAGTGAAAAAGGGTTTGGGGGCCAAATTGGAGAGTGAAATGGTGACAAGTGGCTAAGTGAGGTTTGTAAATGGATCTATTTTGAGCCACAAATCAAGTGGTTGTAAGAGATTTTATAAGTTGGGTATCATAGAACCATCCAAAACCATCCATTATGTTTGTCAATGTATCTATAAGATTCTCAATTTTTATATCAATTTCTTGGCTCTATTATTATCACAAAACTAGGTTCATGATTATGAGACTAACATGCAACGTAATTATTCTATGATTCGATTATAATTAAAGTATCGTGGAGAAAATAGTACTTTCATTAAGATTTTCGGTGAGATTCCATATTGGTTGGAGAGATAACGAAACATCTTATTGGCAAAAGTGTTTTAAAAACTTTAAAATCCAAAAGGGAAATACTAGAGAGGACAATATAGTGGGTTTGAGTTGTTATAAATTGTATAAAACCCGAAAGAGAAATCCTAAAGACGACAATATCTGCTAATGGTGGGTTTGAGTTGTTATAAATGGTATCAAAACCAAACACCAGACAGTGTGCCAGCGAGAAAATTGAGTTCTAAAGGGGGTGGATACCGAGTGATGTGCCAGCAAAGACGTTGGGCCCTGAAGGGGTGAATTGTCAGATCTCACATCGATTGGATAGGGGAACGAGTATCAACGAAGACACTGAACCTCGAAGGTAAGAGTGTGGAAACATCTCCCTAACATACATGTTTTTAAAATCTTGAGAAGAAGCTCGAAAGGGAAAATCCAAAGAAGATACACTGTCGACCAATAGTTTAAATGCTCGAGTTCTCATACTCATTTATTTTAAAATGTATTGATATATACTTTTAATATCTGTTGTATTACTTATTTTAAAAAAAATATATGCATACACTTATTAATTTACGTATTTTAAATAAATATTTAATATAAATTCAATGTATTTGAATCTGATTCAAATTTCAAGTATGATATATTGTTTTTTTAATATTTAATATTCATAATTTAAGAATATTTATGGATTAATTAGGTTTTCTTAGATTTTTTTTAATAAAATATAAGGTTAATAATTAAAACATTTATTTATTTATTTTACAGTTGAATTTTAATATATATTTTTAAAAAGTATAAAATTTTATTTTTAATCATGAAATTAAATAAAATTATAATGCATATTTATATAAAATTGTATCATTATTAAAAAAAATTATTAACAAATTTAAGTTATTTTAATAATTTATAAACTAATTCAGTCCATATCATTTTTATTTATTTGAATAGAACTGATGCTTATTCCTCAGATACCATTCTTCTCCGGGAAAAGAAGTTCACAACCCGTAGGCCTTCTACCTCCATGCGGCATTGCTCTGTCAGGCTTTCACCTATTACAGAAAATTCCCCACTGTTGCTTCCCGTAGGAGTTTGGATTGTGTCTCAGTGCTAGTGTGGCTAATCATCTTCTTGGACCAGCTACTAATCATCGCCTTGGTAAGTTTATTGCTTCACCAACTAGCTAATCAGACGCAAGCCCCTTCTCGAGCGGATTTCCCCTTTTGCTCCTCAACGTACGGGGACATGATAATTCAAACTATTTTATTATTGGATCCAAATCATTTTTTTTTAAGGTATGAAATTATTTAATTTAAAGATAAATTAAAATTAATAGGAAAGGAAAAGAAACAAAAATCAGGTGGCGTGAACGTGGGGGTGGGTAATTGATTGGACAAGAAATAAAAAAATCCATAAATTAATTTTAGATTATTAGTATTTAAAAAATTTAAGGTATTATTGAAACAGGATATTTTCAATAATTTAGTCTATTTTTTTTAATTTTTTCAAATATTATTTTAAATTTAAGAGATAAATTTTAATTCAACCTATAAAAATAAATAATCAAATGTTTTACACATTAACATTATATTTTTAATTAAAATTAAAATTATAAATTAATGATATGTATCTAAACCAACCAATTCAATGATATCTTGAGCTTATTGTTTAAAAAAATAAAAAATAAAATCATTTAGATCCGATCTAAAATATGAGATCTCATATTGATTCAAGAGGAGAATCAAATATTCTAACCTGTAAATCTCTCCATAATAAACGTGTTTTAAAATCATGAAATCCAAACAAATCAAATAAAGCATACATATCAGACATGTTTTAAAACTGCAAGCGTAATAAGATCCTATCCAATCCGATCTAATTCAAAACCGGAAGAAGGCAGCGGGCAGCGGGCAGCGGGCAGATTCCTCGTCAACTTGGCCGTCAAATTACAAAAAAAAAATAAATAATGGTTTTTGAAGCAGAAACCCTGTAGGTTTTCACCGCCTTCTATATTGGTCCAAATCCCAAATACCCAAGAACAGAGCTTTTTAATTCCTGGGTTCGAACCTATAAATTTGCATACCCCATGGAATTAAAAAAAGAAATACCCAGCGACACCCCCCATGGACGACGGCGAAGCCCTGGAAGCCACGCACCAGCACCGCTCCCGCTGCCTGCTTCCAAGAATGGATGCAACTCCAGCGCCAAGACCTAACCCTCCTCCTCGAATCCCTTCACAACACCCACAACGACGACCAATCCAGAACCCTCATCCGCAATTGCCTCGCGCACTTCGAGGATTACATAACCAATCGCAGGCGCCTCGCGGAGGAGGACGCCTTGCCATTCTTCGCACCCATATGGTGCACCTCGTTAGAGAATTCCTTGCTCTGGATTGCAGGGTGTCGGCCATCGATTTTCATTCATACGGTTGTTGTATGCGTTAAGTGGGTGTGAAGTGGACGCGCGGTTGGGCGAGTGGTTGGAAGGGATTAGAGGGGAGATGGGAATCATCATCTCCATGTGGGGAATTTGTCGGCGAGTCAGATGGTGCGTGTGAGTGGGCTGTGCATATGAGGACGGTGCGAGCAGAGGAGAGGCAGGGGAGGGAGATAGCGTGCTGTCAGGAGGAGCCGGCGGATGAGCCGATTGCGGTGATTGTGAATGAGATGGAGGGGTGGAGGGGGAGGTGAGTGAGACGGCGGAGAGGGAGATGAGGAGGATGATGGAGAAGGCGGATGAGTCGAGGTTGAAGACGATTAAGAAGGAGGTTATGGAGATTTTGGAGCCGGTTCAGGCGGTGGAGTTTTTGGTGGCGAGTAAGAAGCTTCATCTCTCGTTGCATCAATGGGGGAAACGCCGAGATGAGAGGCATGGGAGAAGATGTTGACTTTAATTTAGATAGATTTTGGTGTTTCTTTTGATTTGTTCTTACTTTTGTTGTTGTTGTGGGAAGAACTTGTTTGGTTGTGTTGTTCGTAAACGGTGGGTTCTTGCATATGGGCTTCTCGATTTGCCACGACTTGTTTTTAAACTCTTTCGATCCGGGTGAGATTTGGGGTCGAAGAATGCACACACATATGTAAAATGGAACTTAAAATCGTATTTTGACTTTGGACCATACTTTCGATTTTGATTGAGTCAATCCTCTAATGGTTGGCTCGTGTTGGCTCCATCTAGCTAGTGAGGCTCTCTTCTACTCTATATTTTAACTCAACTAACTTATTTATTTCAGTTGGACTTTTGGATGCTTCCTTACTATTTTTGACTCTTCTAAGACCGTTTTGGGAGAGTTTAAGGTGAGTATGGCTATTGTTTAGCCAATTTAAATTATTTTGAGCCGTGTTTGGATTAGTTTATGCAATTTGAGGGGCTAATTTTTGTAATAGTATTGTAAACTATGATGTTCACTCAGTAGGTGAAATTGAAATTTAATGAGAAGAATCAAGCTAGCACTAAGATTCGCTAAAGGCTTTGACTAAGGTCAATTGTGCAAGTGGTTCTAGTGTTGGACGCCTATAAGCTTGGTTAGATGACTTATATGTTCTATGAATGACATGTGTTTCTTTGACCCAAAAGTTAAGTTTCTTTGCGATTCTATTTAGTTTAGATGACAGAATCATTCAAGCTTGACATGATTAATCTTGGTTGTGAAGTGATTCGAATCTCAAACCAGTGTTCTTGCCTTGAGATAAGTAATCGGAATCTTATTTCCCGGCTTCTTAAAGTTAAATGGACATCTCTATAGGTAACCTTAAAATTGTGATGGTTGCCCTCCTTGCCCTTATTATTTCAACCATAACAATACTGTTCAGACTTTTCAAAAGCGTTTCAAAACTACCTTAAAAGTACATATAAATTACAATGTTGAAAGAAAATAATGATGTAGCAAATCATAGTTCTTCGTACTTAACCTAGACCAACTTTTTCATCACTATCACGTGCTTGAGGTCACCAACATCTCAATCTTTCATCCAACGCATTTCTATTCCCCGGGTACGTTCTAAACTTTTTCGAAAGAAATATTTTTGAAACAAATGGAGCAAAGTAGACAAGGATACATATGATTGACTGTTCAGTGTGTAATGTAAGCAGAGAGTTCAGGAGAAAGCACTGCCAAAAGAAGTAATGCACATAACTTGAAAAAGGGTTGGAACGAGCTAAAGAAGTTGATACAATACAAGGACGAGGACAAAGGACAAAGGACAAAGGACAAAGGACAAAGGACAAAGGACAAAAGACAAAGACAAGGACAAGGGTGTAGCAGCAAAATTTGGGGGGTTGTCTAATAAATCTAAGTAAAAGGGGGGGAGTTTTTGACAAATTTATGTATTATTTCACTCCATTTGAGATGTATTTTTGTGTATTAGAATGTTACATCCCAAAGTTTGATAAAATAAAGATTACAGTAACAAAGAAAAGGAAAAGAAAAGGCATCCCCCACTTCACAAACTCCAAATCCACACCCTTACTGATATATCAGCATAAGCTATATAAGATATTGTGGGAAAAGAATTTGAATCAAATGAATAGTGAGGGGCTTTGCTTACATCAAAACAAGAAAGGGGTTGGGGTTCCATGTGTTGATGAGGCTGAGAGACCAAAGCAAATGAACAGCACAGGGGAGAGCAGGAGGAGGATCCAGAGTTTGAAACAGGCTATCCTTTGTATTTAGATATTAACACACACACAAAAAAAAAAAAAAAAAAAAAAAAAAAAAAAAAAAAAAAAAAAAAAAAAAAAAAAAAAAAAAAAAAAAAAAAAAAAAAAAAAAAGAAAAGAAAAAAAAGAACATACTATACTTGCAACAATGGAGACAGAAGGAGACACGCCACTGCTGTTCTTCTTCTTCTTCTTCTTCTTTGTTTTCTTCTTCGTCGTCGTCGTCGTTGTCGTCGTCTTCTTCAAGTAGCCTCCACTGATAAGATCTCCAGTTCAGCCCACCAGAGGGGAGAAAGCCTTGGAACGGATTGGTCCGGTGACAATCCTATCACTTCTCGTAGTTTGGCAGCGATGTCTTTCATTGTTGGTCTCATCCTTGGATCTGATTTGATGCAATCTTGTATCACCTCACAGATCACGTCCAGCTCGTTGTTTTTGAACGATTTCAGACTTTGATCAATCATGTAGCTAATACTCCTCTTGTCATTTAGAAACTCTGAAGCCTGCAATGTTTATAAACAGATAAGAGTTGAATAGGAGTTGTTGTTGTTGTTTCAGTTTCTTGAGCGTTTGGAGTATATCCTGAACCTACCCAGTTCACAAGGGGCCCTTGTTCCTCTGTGTATGGCAGCTTTCCTGAGATGATTTCAAGCAACAATACTCCGAAACTGTACACGTTTGACTCTGGATCCGCGAGGGGCGGTAACTCAGAATGCTCGTTATCGTGGTCGCCTGTGTTGTTATATTTTGATACCCCATTTGATAAGAAAATGATCTCTGCAATCTGCAAGATTATGGGAGCTCAGACGATATGAACGACGGTTTCGAATTATGATCAAATCAGGCAAATGGGAGTTTATATGTACCTTGGCAGCATAATCATCAGTTAAATAAATAGCTGTTGATGTGAGATTTGTATGTGCCACTGGGGGATTTAGATCATGATGCATATACTGAAGGCAATATGCTGTTCCCATAATTATCCTCATCCTTGAAGCCCAGTCAAGATGTTCAACTTCTTTAACTGATCAACAAAAGAGTTACATTTATGTTAGCATTATAAAGTAGGGCCTCAAATACTGAAACGACTTGCATTCCATAGTCGTTCTCTACCGTGCAGGTGCTCGAAAAGAGTTCCGTTTGGAGCGTACTCGAACACCATCATCCTAGTAAATGGTTCTTCCTCCTCACAGTAGCCAAGAAGATTAACAAAATTCTTGTGGTTGATCCGTGACAACGTATCAATCTGCACCCAAAGAGAATTGGAGGAATAAGAAGGTTTTAATGGTCAAGTCGAATCTTCGAGTTCCATCGAGGGAGAGGGTGAAGGGAAAAGAAAACGTAAACGAAAACCTTTTTCCGATAGGTTTGCTCTGAACTCTTTGACCAATCCTTAGAGGAAGTCACTGAGACTGATGCAACAGCAATTTCTACTCCACTTGATAGTGTTCCTTTGTAGATAGTGCTACAATCAAAAGTGTCAATAATGTTGCTGAAATCCTCACAGGCTACTTCCAATTCTGGTCGATTCAATTTCGGTGCACCTAGTAAGAAAAACGAACACAATTCAGTCCCCTCGGCACGAAAAGTAAACCAACTACGCGTAGTTATAGCTTTCTGGCACTCATGAATCAAAATACCTGTTATGAATGCTTTCTGCAACTGCCCACTCAATCCAGTCTTCCAAGGACCAATAGTCGTGACGCCTCGGCTTCGGCACATGCAGAAGATTATGGTAGCCAAAATAAGTGATAAAGATACACCTCCAATTATGATTGCATACTTCCAGAAATGTCCAGAAGGATTATCAATTCCATGAGTTGGCAGTGTATCCGAGGGTTGCGATGAGGTATTCTCTGGTAGAGGTTGGGAAAGAGGGGCTGGTTCGGGCGGAGGAGGTTCCTTTTTAGGTTTATTTGGTACAGCAGGGAAAGTACCACTACTTCTAGGAGTTGTAACAGTATAGACCGAGTCCGAAGAGGGCAATACAATAGTAGAAGGAACAGCTGCAAGGTTGGTTGATTCATCGAGAAGCTTACGCCGATGAGTGTTGACAAGATTCTGTACAGTGTCATCCACATCTTGTGGAACAGAACCTGCTTAAATTCATATCTTATAAGTAATCATTCCCCATTTTCAAGAATGGAAGATTTCAAAAGTTCTGAACTCACTAGGGAGATTATCATCGTTATTTTCCTTAAGGTCAGACTGAGAGTCCTTCTCAAGCTTGAGTCTTGAAAGAGAAACAAACAATTTCAACAATCAAACAAGAAACGTTTCTGCTATAAGAATGCAAGGACGGGTTAAAAGATGAATCGTGTTCTATTACGTACAGTGAGTTTGGCATGGTGCTGAGGTATCGAACGTATGCGTTATCTTCACTTGCAGATGTATCTAAACTTTTCATATAGATGGGATTTCTCTGCCAGATGCTACCCCATTAAAGGAGCAGATAAAATGTTAACACGTCGAAGACTTTCGATGAACGTTCGACAAGTATAAGAAAAAGTCATTTGAATGAGAGTTCATACCAGTGCCCATGCTTTCTATTTACACTGCCACCTTCAACATCCCATAAAAATACAAGGTTATCATCGAACTGTAATTCGTAGAGAGAGCTGAGATTCTGAAGCTCTGATGGGACACTGCCTTCAAATTCATTGTCACAAAGGAACCTGAGATTATGAACAGAGAACAAAATCAGTCCGTGATGCGGAGTTTGGGCAAACTCTCGATATAAAAAACTGTGTTGACGTTAAAACTTACAAGTATTTTAGATTGGAGATCCTGCTTATTTCTGCAGGAATTGTTCCACTAAAGTTATTTTCCCTCAAATCCAACAACTCCAAATGTGTTAGTCCTTCGATTTCACGAGGAATGGTGCCATAGAAACCATTCTTATAGAGAATACTGTCAATGCATAAAGACGTAGAAAAACCAAAAGAGTTTTAAGTTAATAGGCCAAGTTCTTTAAAAGAATCACTTAATGATAGTAACACAAAAGCTTACAGTGATCGTAAATGAATAAGTCTCCCGAGTTCTGGGGTCAGAGTCCCTTTTAACATAAGGCCACTCAGATTCCTACGAGATGTCGAGATGAAACGTCAAAATTTCACTATCACATGGAACAAACAAAAGACATAATCTATCTAACCACAACATAGCATTATCGCCAACCTAAACAAAGATTTGAATCCGCCCACCCATAGTTATCGAGCTCAAAACAAAACAAAACGAAACACAATACTATTGAAACTCAGCACCATGAATCATCCATGGGTTTATTTTAAAGAGCTACATCAAGTATAACAAGGTTGTTGAAAATGGAGAGCATACAGGGTGTGGACTTCACCACCAACGCAATGAATACGAGACCATCTGCAAGGATCATTCTCATTTGGATTCCAATCATCCAAAGCATCATGAGGATCATAAGTTACTTGAGACCGGAATGCCAACAACGCCAATCCTAAACTCGCCACAATGAAATCATCCACAAGGCATAGACATGAAATTAATCTCAATTTGTGGGGTGGGGAAAAACAAAGAAAAGGTACAAAAACAAGATTTACCTTCATCATTAAGTGAGAAACAAACTTCAATACCGAAAACAACAATCAAAGCTAAGAAAGTTGAGAACCGAAATGCTATCGGGATACATCCATCCCCCATCGCTTGGTGATCACAATGCAGCAGAGGCCAATAGCCGCAGAGCTATGCAACAGACTACACAAAATCGCCAGGGTTTTCTATACAAACGACCTCGTTGCAAACACTCGTAACCAGAAACGAATATCGATTGGAACTTCGTATGGAATTAGGCTAAGCTAAGAAAAAACCTATGTTACAAATGCATTTGAATTCAAAAGGGCTGCCAGGACCAGCAACCGTATAAGGATTCCTCATCTTTGATTCTTAAATCAGTTCCACAATCCCTTTTCCGGTAAGAAGTTCATTACCCAGCTCAGCAAGACTAAATCCACAGAAATCCCTGAATATAATCCAATCTAAGCTCAAGCGTCAGAGATTTCACAAAATAAGATCAACAGAACAATGGATCATACAAAAATTTCAGAATAAGGGAATACCCTCCTCATCAAGCAAGCAAAAAATATAAAATACAAAAGGAAGCGAATGAAAGAAAGAGTAAATACCTTGAAGAATGGGAAGAAAAAAAGGTGCAGAAGAATCTGTCCGTATGGGATGCTGATCGAGATGTAAATTCTTTTTTTTTGTTTTTTGTTTATTTGTATAAGGGTCGTCAAAGTGGGGGGGAAAATGTAAAATTAGAAGCCCACAAAGAGAATGTGGTATGAATCTCTGTAAGGAAGAAGAAACGTAGGTGGGTGGATCTATTAAGCTACAGAAAAAAACAAGGAATGTTGAGACGAAAGGCAGCAAAGAAAAAGAAAGAAGGAGATGGAATATAATGAAGAAAGGTTTATTTTTCTATTACTGCCCCTTCAGGATGATCTCAGAGCACTTTCTCTTCGACCATCTTCTGGGTCTCTACCAGGTCTCTGTTTCTGTTTCCGTCTCTCTGTTTTTCTGTCTCTCTGTTTTTCTGTCTTCTGTTTCTCTCTCCTTACCAGCTTCTTGTTTTCCCTTTCTCCTCCACCTTTCTCTCTCCAATCCCTTTGCACCAAGCCGGGATGGATTTTTTTTCGTAAAAAAAAATCATCAAAATTAGTGAATAATTATATATAATTAAGAGGGAGAATATTAATTTCTTTGGATGTGGCGTGGTTAAACCGTTGAGAGTTGAAAACACTATCCGTTTCTGTCATTCGGCGGCACAGAGACAGAGAGAGACAGAGAGAGAGAGAGTGGAAATCGATGATGAGTGGCTTAGAGGGTCCCCATTTCCGTCGTAAACGGACGCGCTTTCATCTTCATCTTCTTATTTTTAATTTAATTTGTTCCGTTGACCAAGCCTTCCTTTCTCTCTCCTTACTTTCTCTCTCCTTCCTGCCCTTCTTTTCGTGCCTGCCTCTCTCTCTCTCCCTCTCTCTCACCCAATCAATCTTCATTTCACAGCAAACTTACTATATTCCCTCGATAGATTATCTAGGACCTTCGTCCAACGACTGTGATTTTGCCACCTCTACATTCCCATTTTTCTGTTTGTTTTCTCAAGAAAAACCAAAACAGAGCAAACCCCATCTCCAAAAATTACACCTTTTCTCCCTTTTATCAAAGCTATAAATGAAGGGTTGAGAATCGTGTATTGGGTTTGTTTTTACTAGGACCCATCTTCCAGAACCGGGAAAAAATTACACCTTTTTCCCTTTATCAGAGCTGTAAAAACAGAGTGAGAATCGTGTCAAACGAAACTGTAATTCTAAAGCATATTTGAAAGTTGGATAGGCTGCCGGAAGGTTGTTATTCAAGAACATTAAGTCAAACTTTTGGCTCTAGTAATTCCGGGCTTGTTGTTTGTCCATATCAGGCTTACCAAAACCCAGAGCTTTGAAGATAAGAAAAAGACAGGTTATTGATGTCACAAATACAATCAAAGTCAGAAACTTGATGTAACGAAACTAAGTGCTCAATCAAGAAAAGAAAAAGAAAAAATAAACCCATTTGAATTCGTTTTCTTGATCCTGACTTTGAAGGTTACAGTGCAAGAAAAAAAGAAAAAAGAAAAGATATAGCATCCTGTTATGTCTCTATCCAAAATCTACACGTCTCTGTAGTTAAGAATTCATTATTGAGCTTTCAAACTCAACTTTTCTGAATACTTATATTTAAACCTTCCTATCATTTAAATAATCCTTGATTTTCTTGCTTGAATCATGGGTTGAAAAACTCAAGTTTTATATTGCTGGGTTCAAAGAAACGTAGGCATTGATGTTAAAAGGCATTACTTATGAAGGGTAGACGGCGATGACTGTTAAAAAGTGAATGAAAATGCTTGAGAGTGACAGAGAAAAAGAGGGCTCAAACAACAGTTTATGAAGAAACTTTCATTCTCAGAACTTTCTTAAAATATATAACTTTTACTTCAAATATACAGTGCAATTACCTCACATCTATGTTGATTCCTAGGCTGCTGTATACAGAATTCATTCTGTGAATATGAATGTTTCCTCCGCTATGCCCCTACATGTCTTCACATAAATATCAGAAGACATAAAAGGAAAAGGGAAGCTCAAATCGTCCTAACTTATTCAAAAAAAATTGAGGAAAGGAAGTACAAACCATGCTAATGTATGAACTTTTACACAAAACCAATCAATCAACCTGAGTGTTGAAATTCTCTGTTGTTGAGTGCTGAGAAACAGGAGGATTTAATTCCTGAAAAGACCGAAAAACAAAGAGGATTAGTCTCTTTCTCTGAAGCAAGGAAGTTTTTCCCATATATATTTGAAAGTTCATGACATTACCTCGGAGTACTGAACATGATCGTGATGCAAATTTGTAGATTTTACAATGGTTTCCCACTTGGTGCTGGCTGATGTCCTAGGACACTGCAGCTTGTGATACAACCTGTTTCCAAGATTTGATCCAGCAAGTAACTTTTTCGAGGAAACCGAAGGGAGTGTACACCAGAGCCAAGACTTGTAAGGCGACTTTGGTAGAGGTGGAGGTTGAGAAGATATCACAGAAGTTACTTCGACACTTGCCGGATCTTCTACTTTTACTAGCTGAAAATTGGACGTAGAGTATTCATCTTGATCAGCCGAGCCCACATTAGAGTAACCAGAAAGATCTTCTTTGTAAAGTCCATGTCCCATTTTGGAGTCATTATCAATGGCGTCTTTGTTTGTAGATTCTGCGGCTTCACGCTGCAGCTTCCCGTCTTCAATCAAAGTTAAGCACTTTACTTCTGGGAAAGAAGGTTCCACAGTGATAGTTTCTTCTGTCACTCTGGTCTCAATTGTTGTTTCATTGTTCCTACTAGCATGATCAACCATTTCATTGGCATCCAAAAGGCTTGAGTTCAATGGAGGAGTTAGTTCAACAACGCTTGCAGCATCTATGTAGAGTGTCTTCTCAATCAGGGCACTCGCCGTGTCAACTCCATGTTTAGTTGCTTGAATGGATTGTCTATCACGAAAGTTAGTATTACCTTTAAAGTTGGAGATAGTCTCAACGTCTTTAGGAGCTACAAACGACTGCTTTCTACTAGGAGACCATGATGCTTCATTCCGGAAGGGAGAAGCCGTCCTTGAATGCCTAAAGGGAGAAGACCTACCTCTCATTTGCAGGTCGGTGGAGGAAGGAAAATGTTTTGGTTCACCAATCCACTTATTTTTTACCTCCTGCAGCTTAGGTGATCCAGCAGCATCCCAAGCATGCTGTAAGATGTAAAATTTATCAGCAATTATACATGTATAGCAAGCAAATGGGAAGAACAAAATTAAATGAAGAGTAACCTTGTTGATCTTTTGGCTATGTGAATGATGCATTGTTCTGCTCGATTCCCTAACTTCATTAGTGATAGAAATGGGCGACTCCGTCCTGATTCTCATCCCAGGCACAGGACTAAGAAAGCCCAAAGCGTTTTTGAAGCATATATTGGGTATTAGACCACAACCTCTAGCTGATATATTACCTGGATTGTCATATTCATCATCCACAGAGTCACTTTCTCCATCTACTTCATGTACTTCATCTCTGCAATACCGAAGTAACAGGGCAGACTCGAGTTGTTTAAGTGGAGACATCCTCCTATTCTCAGACGGGATCGTCTTAACTTGCCTAGGTTGCTCAACTGCTATAGGTTGCTTCTTTAAGGAATACTTAGGAGGCTCCAAAACCATTGCCTTGGCAGCAGGTAAGAAGCGACTCATCATGAAATCTCGAGTTTGAGGATCTGTTCGGAAAGTTCGACCGTTGTATCCACTTAGACCACTTACACTACAGTTGTTAATAGAGAATGAACCAGTGAGGGACTTTGTCTCGCGTGCATCAGAGAGATCATCATCATCATTCTCAGATACCAAGCTCCTCGTCTCACTAGCTTTCGTCGACTCTAATCTAACAACAACGGCATTTGAAGAATTAGCTTCACACTCGTTTTGATAACAAGCTTCCATTTCCAAAGCCCTCCCAAAGGAAAGTCTAGGACTAGAACAAGTCCTCTCAGGAGGCAGCTGAGGCAGCTTCTCAGGTGAAGCTGAGCCACAACCATTCTTAGCTCTTCCTGGAATTTGCTCCCAATGGAAGGGAACTGCAACTGGTTCTGTTACTTCCTCTAAATTGAATGGCGGTCGAGAAACTCGAAAGCTACTCCGTCTACTAGGCTGGGAATCTTCAGGTTTCTTTTCATTCACTTCAACTAAAGAACTTGATGCCTTGGAAAATCGCCTCACAGACATGAGAGGTACATTAAAATTGAGTTTTCTTTCCTCCATTGCGTCCCCAACCAACAAGAACAATGGGAAGAAAATTTAACTATTGAAGTAAGGTTCACTAATACCGCAAATAAACCTAATCCGATAAACCCTTTTGCTAGTCTAGGATTGCAAGTCTTCAGCAGTGAAACACGACACAAATCAATGATCTAATATGAAAGAAAATTCATCCACAAACTTGAGAAAGAGGGTAATCCAGAAATTCTGATGAATCAAACATCCAAATCCCCAAAATTAACCGAACCCCAGATAAGAATGTGCAGTAACAACTCCTAAAAGTTAATCAAAATGCGAAAACAAACACAAAAGAGAAAATCAATAGAAGCGATTCACAGACCGCGTTAAAACCAAACGAAAACAAAGCAGAAGACAGAACAGCAGCACATTTTACAGAGAACCCAGCAAGAGAAAAAGGAAGAACAGTAGAAAGAGTTCATAAACGATGGCGTGTAGCAAGGGAAAATGAGTAATGGGAAAGTAAATGAAAAGGAAATCAGTGACTTATTGTGCGCCAAATTGAGCGTATCATCTTCATGTTGCTTTACGCCGATTGTGGCTTCAATTTGTCAGGCTCCCTCTGCTTTCAAAGCTCTTAGTGGGATCAGAAGAAGAAATACAGTTGAGGGTCTTCTAAAAAGTGGAGGCAAAGCGGGAGAGAGAAGAATTGATAGCGCACTTTGTTGGCTGCGCGCTCCACGTACCTTTGTACAATCACTCTCCCCTTGGTTTACAATTTTGAGCCGTTCGTATGATCATTTATTCATTCCAATACAAATACAGAATGAATAATTGAATTTACTTTCATTTAAAGCTTTAAGTTACCGTTAAAAAGCACCCCTCCACTACACACTCCTCTCAAAATAAATAAATAAATAAATAAATATTTAAAAAATAACTTTGATTTTTTTTTTTAATATTTAACGATATTTCTGTGTTAATTTTTTTAAAAAAAAAGTTTAAAATATCTTTTTTTTTTTTTTTACAGTTAATATTTTCATTCATATATTAATAAGATAAATAAAATTTTTTTACATTTTTCAAAAATTGAAGGGTATTATTTAAAATTTTGAAAGGTTAAAATACAAAAATTTAGAAATATTTTTATTAATTTAATATAGTTAATTAATTAATAATAAATTACACATGAATTAACTAATAATATTTCAAATATATTTAATTAATTGAGATGAGTTAAATGAAGTTGGTAGAAAAACTATTTTTCAATTATATAAATAATTAGTTATGGTTAGTTTATAATCCATTAATTGCTTTTTGAAATAATTTTAATTAATCATTTATGATTAACATATCATAATTTTATACATTTTAAAATATAAACTTTTTTTTAATAACATTCATTATCAGCCTATATTTCGTTCTTCTGTTTGTATATTGTTTATTAAATTATACTTTCCTATATTATTAACTCAATTTAATGGATTAAAATTAATTTTATAATTAATAATATAGGACTATAATTAATTAAAAACTAATTAAATATTCTATAATATTAAATAAACAAATCATATATTTCTTAACATTGTTAATTACTTAATTTTAGCGATATTTAAATTAAGTACAATTATTCATTTGTTAATAGTATTTATAATAAACTCTTCAATTAAAATGATTATTTTATTATTGACTAATTATATTTTGAATACTTTGAATTAAATTTAATTATTTTATCATTTATTTTATAAAATAAATACAAAAATAATTTATTGAGTTAACTTTTAATAATGATCTCTTATTCCCGAACATATTATTTTCAATAATATATGAAAACTTAAACCTTACGACTCTTAAGAAAAATTACACAAACTACCCTTAAACTATGAGATTTTTTGCAACCAAATTCGATCCTAACCGTTTATATTATTAGATTACTTTTTATTTAATAGTGTCATAAATCATTTGATTATTATTGTCTTAATATCAATATTCTAATTAATATTATGTAAATGTAGTTAGTAGCGCTAGAAGCCTAGCCCAATCCATTTCAATCCAAGCCCAATAGCTCATCTCCCTAAATTCTTAAGCCCAGCCCAGAAAAGCCCAGCCCAACTACCTTCATCCCATAGCATAGCACCAGCCCAGTCCAACGTACGACTGGGCTTGGCTAGGTCAACGATCATCGGTCAACTCTCGAGTCAACGGTCAACGGTCTTGGATATTATACTAAATTAATAAAAATACCCCTTTCAAAAGCCCAATCCATATCATTCCAAGCCCAGTAGCTCATCACCCTAAATTCATAAGCCCAGCCCAACTATCTTCATCCTATAGCATAGCACCAGCCCAGTCCAATGTACGACTCGGCTCGGCCCGGTCAACGATCATCAGTCAACTCTCCGGTCAACGGTCAACGGTATTGAAAAATTTAGCTTGTATGACACTAATTATTCCTTTTGATTCTAATTTTATTATTCCTTTACCCTATCCTTCCTAATTTCACCTCAATTTTCATTTAAAGAGACCTAATTATAACATTTTTACTAAATTAAATAGCGATGGCAGCAATTTTAACTTAATTATACGTGATATCACGTGTTAAATGAACATGTTATAGTCCACTTTGAGCGTAAGCTTTCATGGCTTTGCAGCTTATTAGCCAATGTGGGACTTTCATCAAACACCTCCCCTCGAACAAAGTACGTCTCCCCTTAATCGAGGCTTGACCTTTTTCTTTTGGAGTTTTAGTCATTTTTTACTATGTCTTCGAGGCAGGAGGCTCGACTCCTTTCTTTTGGAGTTCTTTATTCGACATTTGAGAATTCTATTGAAATGACTAAGTTTATGGCATGCCTCTGATATCATATTAAATGAACACAACTCTCTACAATGGTATGATCTTGTCCACTTTGAGCATAAGTTCTCGTGGCTTTCCTTTGAACTTTCCCCAAAAGGCCTCGTACCAATGTAGATAGTATTACGTAGGATCATTCCCTAAATTAGTCGATGATGCGAGACCTAAAAAAGTGCAACAGAAGGAAGAGGGTGAGTCGCGGTTCAGTGGATGGTCTCAGCAACACAAGCCAACCACTTGAGGTTACATTTGATTATGGTATCAGCGAACAAAACGGTGTCTTCTTTGCTACTCCCCGACGGAACATCCACCACCACCGTCTTCCTTCCCCCACCCTCCTCCTCCTCCGCCGCCACCTCATGTAAAGTGGTGGTGGAACGGTAATTGAGGAGCTGGTGGTCCCCGCCAATGATGGTAAAGACCATGAGATGGGCATCATCATCGAGGCGGTCGAGGCGCTCAACGCTAGTGTTGGCAGGCATGCCAGTGACGACGAGGAGCTCCCTTATGGTGCCGACACCACCGTCGCCATCGCGGATGATGCAGGTCTTGACGAATTGCTTGTAGACTTGTGGGTAGTCGAAGCGGCGGACGATGGACCAGACTAGAGGGAGAGGGGCGTGAACCAATTGAACCACGCGGGAGGTGCATTGGTTGGGGAAAAGAGTGGGGGAGTGGTAGAGGCGCAGCATTGAGTCTGTGCTTGCCTTGTTGCCACTCTGGATGCCGTTTTCGCTTCCGTTGCAATGCATTTCAACGACTGAATCTGCTGGATCAGAAATGTTTTGTTTTTATTTACTCAAATTAAGGTTTTTTTTTTTTTTTTTTTTTTAATTTATAAAAGATTGTGTTTTTGGTCGGTTAAGGTTTGTGGACAAATTGGGCGTGTGTGAGATCTCACATTCATTAGAAAGGGAACGAAACATTCTTTGTAACTAAGGGTGTAGAAATTTCTTTTTGACAAACCCATTTTAAAATCTTGAGGGAAAGTCCGGAAGGGAAAGTTTTAAGAGGACAATATTTGCTAACGGTGGGCTTAGACTGTTGCAAATGGTATCAGAGTCGAACATGAGTGATGTGCTAGCGAGATAGCTAAGCCCTGAAGGGGGTGGATTGTGAGGTCCCACGTCGATTGGAAAGGAAATGAATGTCAGCGAAAACACGGGACCTTAAAGGGGTGGATTGTGAGATTCCCACATCGATTGAAGAGAGGAGAACAAAACCTTTTTTATAAGAGTGTGGAAACCTCTCTGTAGTAAACGTGTTTTAAAACTTTGAGGAAAAGTTTAAAGAGGATAATATCTACCTACAGTAGGTTTAAATCGTTACACTTACCAAGGTTGGATATCAATTGGATGGAATACAAATCTAATCATAACTGGATTCAATATAAATCTTAAGAGCCAAGGACATGTAAGAGGCATACCTCTATGGATATCCATTTTTATGACATAAATTTTAACAATCAAGTTTGATTGTCGTATTATGGTTCTTGATCTTATTGACTCGAATGTCTTTTGACATGATTTGTAGAGCGGTAAAAATGCTTATAACCCTTGAAATATTAGTAAGCTAGTTCTCAACTATTCTTAGTATTCAAAAAGTTCTATATATATACGACGAGTAATCTCTTATCTAAGTATCAAATTGATCTACACATTATCTCCTTCGGTTAATTTAATGTTGTAATATCAAACCTCCACTTAGTTTCACCCAAGCTTCATCCTGGTCATGGATAGATCACCCAGGTTCGGGTCCATAAGCAGTGACAATTGCCCCATGAAAACTCGCTTTCACTACGGCTCCAGTGGGTTCCCTTAACCAAGCCACTACCTATGAGTCGTCGGCTCATTCTTCAACAAGCACGCGGTCAGAGTCCTGGTCTCCTCCCACTGCTTGGAAGCTTACGGTTTCATGTTCTATTTCACTTCCTGATGGGGGTTCTTTTCACCCTTCCCTCACGGTACTACTTCACTATCGGTCACCCAGGATTCTTTAGCCTTGGAAGGTGGTCCTTGCTGATTCACACGGGATTCTACGTGCCTCATGCTATTTTGTTTGTGTACATTGTCGTTCGAGACAACGATTTTCTTTTAGTAGATCTAAGCTCGATGTTATCTTGTTTAGCAGGCAAAAATTTACTTTGGCAAAAAGGATCATTCATTTAAATGATATTTTAATAAAAATTTGACGAATTGACCCGCCTAAACATATCGAGATTTATAAAGATTTTATTAGATCACGAGGATATAATTATGTTTTAAATTTATAATTCAACCAACAAAATAATATGTATTTATGAAATAAGCAGAGCGTAGGAAGAGCCAAGTCAGCAAATGAGTCAATGACGACGTGGCAGACTCAAAATGTATTTTGCAGGTAATTGAGACGCGTGTGGGAAATGATGCGAGTCGGCTTATTGCAATTTAAGGACGGGATAAGGAATTAGAGTTGGACGGTGACGGTGACGGTGACGGTGACGGTGGCTTAGGAAACTGGGCCGGATCCATACAAATTGGGCCCGACAAATGTGCATGTTTGTGAGGCTTCTATTCTATTCTATTTTTATTTTTATTTATTTAGACGTATTTCTAATTTATTTTTTCTTTTTTAAATAAATAAAATAAAAATAAGAAACTCGAGTTGGTTGAGAACGGAGGTTCATCTTGATAAGACTCATCCATTCTATGTCAGCAGCGAACGAAAGTATGTCCCACTTTGTCGTAGATATGGCAGGAATGACGAGCAAAAGGGTCACGACAATCACTAGCAGGACGAGAGGGTGCGCCACCTTGAGAATGACCATGACCACAATCCCTACGCACGCGATTCTTTCGCTGACTACCACGATCAGCATAATTGACCGAAGATCCAGAATTTAACTGAAGTTCAGCTTGGTGTTGTAGTTGGTGAGCTTCAAATGCCATTAGATGTGCAAACACATCATCAAGTGTGAGGGCTTCACTCTTAGTAGTCATTGAGGTGACGAAATGATCATAGTCAGGGCCAAAACCAGCGAGAAAGATACACGATCATGTCATCATCTCGCAAGGCAGAGTCGACGGCGACCAACTCGGCAGCCAGCCCTTTGATCTTGCGGAAATAATCTGGAGTATATAGATTGTGGTAATGAGAATGACCCTACTAGGATTCAAAACCCAAAAATAGGATTATAACACAACCCTACCTTAGTTTAAAGTTTATTTTAAAAATTAAAAATATTTGATTTTTGTAACCGACGTTAATATACTCGACCGTGCTTAGAAAATTATTTTTTAGTATTGTTCAAAATTTTAATTAACGATGTACAAGAGATAGCCAATAAAATTGGAACGATACAAAGAAAATTAGCATGACTCGGTATAAGGATGACACACATAAATCAATAAATGGTATTAAAGGATAGGTACAAGAATAAACTAAAGTCACATCTGAATGAGAACCATCACGAGCATAAGATGGCTAAAAAACTTTAAAAAAATCGAAAGTTACATTAAGTATACTTTATGTGAGAACCTACATTAGGAGAAATTAAACAATTAAGTGTATCTAATAGACATGTTTGAAATCATGAAGTTGACACCGATACGTAACGGGTCAAAGTAGACAATATCTACTAGCAGTAGACTTGAGCTGTTACAGTGGTATTAGAGCTAAATATCAGACAGTGAGGCAACGAGGATATTAAGCTTCCAAGAGGATGGATTGTGAGGTCTTATGTCTCTTGTAAAAGCGTAGAAACCCCTCTTTAACTAAAAGCAAATAATATTTACTAGTGATAGACTTCAGTTGTTACATTTTGAGTAGTGTGAACATGTCGTAATAGATGCAATATTTTATATCCACCCGATCGTTTTGTCATGTATGATGTGATCGATAATCAAAACAACTCCGATTTTTTTTTTTCCTTCAAATATGACATTTTTATTTTTATATGCAAAATTTAAAGTTTTAAAAGTAAATATATATATATATATATATATATATATATATATATTTGAATTTTAAAGAGACCAAATAGGAAAAAATAGGGAGAGAATAAAAGAATGAAAAATAAATAAATAAAGGAATAATAATTAATCCCGTTATCTTCTTTTTTATCGTTAATCTATATTCATTGGTACTGGACTCAAAAGATTAGCGTATTGTCTGAGATGATCTCGAAGAGTATAAAGAACTAAGTGAGAAGTGAGAATTTCCAGTTCTTTTGAAGAGTCCAAGCCAACTGCTAGCCGATATTGTTATCTTTGGGTTTTTCCTTATGAGTTTCCCCTCAAGCTTGATTTTAAAACCCGCTACTCAGGTTGTGGGTTTTTTTTTTAAATCACAAAAGCATATATATATATATCATCATAATTAAATTCCATTAATTTCTTTTTTTATTTTTATTTTTTTCAAAATGAAATGTTCGTATATCTCTTTTCCAGTTTTACCAGATTGTGAAAAAGAATGCGGTAATTAAATTAGTAACTGTGGTTAATTATATTTATTTAAAAATATGTATTATATCACCATCCCAATCCCGTCATATTTGGAAGTGATTTTAGAATTTGTAATTTTAATAAAATAATTTGTTTATAAGTGTATTTTTTATATAATCATTTTAATGTTTGATTTTACTGTTTTTAATGGAATTTCTATACCATATAAAAGAAATGCTAAATTAATATAAATACTATAAATTTGGTACTTTATCCACAAAAATATATTTCAATTTTTTTAAATTATAGAAATGGTTAATATTTTATTTTAAAAAATAAGTTTTAAAATTTTCATTAATACACTTAGTTTTTTAAATTAAAAAATACCCTTAGGATTAATATATGAATAAACCGTTAGTATTATATATATTTAAAAATATTTATGCTAATTTTTTTAATTTTTTAATTTATAAAAGTAAATAGTATTATTACTACTTAATTTTTTTTATAGATATATTATTGTTAAACATAATACTAATCATAAAGAATATTTTATTAATAAAAAATTTTAAAGTTGAAGAGTTGTATTAAATTTTTTTAAAAAAAATATTTTTATTAATTCAAAAGAATTGAAACATTAAAACGAAAAAAAAAAAAAAAAAAAAAAAAAAAAAAAAAAAAAAAAAAAAAAAAAAAAAAAAAAAAAAAAAAAAAAAAAAAAAAAAGTCGTCGACGACCACAGGGTTACCGGACGACCCATAAAAAGAAACTGAGGGAAGGAGAGAGAGGGAGAGAAGTCGTCGACGACCGGCCATGCGCTTGTGTAGTGAGATCCCACGTGAACCCTCTCCGTTTCGGAAATCCCACTTCCCCGCTGTCTAGGCCGCAGTCTTCCCGCCAGTCAGCGACCCCACCCCCCCTTCACCGCCCCTTTTCCTGTTGGGCCGAAGCTTCCGACTAAACCATGACCCATTTCCCTCCCGGCCCGCTTCCTTTTCGGTTTCCTCTCCCCGGCGATATCATCGTCTCCACCGCTCCACTTACCACCCCTCACCTCTTTCTCTATTCTCATGGCGGATCTCACCGATTCTCTCACCCCTTCCTCTTCCATCTCCCGCCAGGTTCCCATTCGTGAGGACTGTTGGACCGAGGACGCTACCTCCACTCTCATCGACGCTTGGGGTCGTCGGTTTCTCGATCTCAATCGCGGCAATCTCCGGCAGAAGGACTGGCTGGATGTTGCTGATTCTGTCAACGCTCTCCATGGCCTTACTAAGAAAACCTATCGCTCCGATGTTCAGTGTAAGAACCGGATCGACACCGTTAAGAAGAAGTACAAGACCGAGGCTGCTAGGGTTTCTTCTTCCCACGGGAGTTTTGTTTCATCTTGGCCGTTTTATGGTCGCCTTCACGAATTGATTGGACCTTCGGCTTTTCCTAGGTCGTTTCGGAAGATGCCTCCACCAGCTGCGGCTGTCGTCGCCGTGTCTCGTAAGCGGCCTGCCGCAGCCATGGATGTGGGGGTTTTCCGGAAGAACTACTCGGCTATGGCTGCTGCTGCTGCTGCGGCGGCGGATGCATTGACCGAGGATGAAGATGAAGAGGAGGAGAGAGTGAGCGAGGAGGAGGATGAGGAGGAGGAGGAGGAGGAGGAGGCGGAAGGGGAGGGGATGAGTAGGTTGGCTAGAGCAATTCAAAGGTTTGGGGAGGTGTATGAATCAGTGGAGGCTGAGAAGGTGCGACAGATGGTGGAATTGGAGAAGCAGAGGATGCAATTTGCTAAGGATTTGGAGGTGCAGCGGATGCATATGTTTATGGAGACTCAGGTTCAGCTTGAGAAGATTAAGCGAGGGAAGAAGAAATCAACTCCCAGTGGTAAGGCCATGAAAACTTTTTGCTCTATTTTTCCTTTGAAATTTCCTTTACTTTTTTCATGAAGCTGAAGTTTTAACTGTTACAGATTCAATATAGAGCTTGTATTTTGATGTGGGTTGTGATGGTATGGCCTTGGTTATGATGCATTTCTATATGCCCAACTCTTAATGATCTAGAGAAATATGTGAATTGAATCTATAACTTGTAAGGCTGTTCTACATATTAGGGAGACAAAAGTATTGCAAATCTTCTGGTTTTAGGCGTTTGTGTTTTGGTAATACCATCCTTGAGTATTGAAAATTTTTGTAACTGCCCATGCCGACCGCTAGCAGATATTGTCCTATTTGAACTTTTCCTTTCAACCTTCCCCTCAAAGTTTTTGCGTATACTAGGGAGAGGTTTCCACACCATTTGGGCTTTTTCTTTCGGGCTTCCCTTCAAGGTTTTTAAAACGCGTATGCTAGGGAGATGTTTCCACACCCTTGTAAAAAACAATTGTTTTGTTCTCCTCTCAACCAATGTGGGGTCTCACATTTCTCCCTCCTTTAGGGTTCAGAGTCCTCGTTGGCACTCGTTCCCTTCTCCAATTGATGTGGGACCCCCCAATCTGCCTCGTATGGAGCCTAGTGTCCTTGCTGATACATTGCCTCGTGTTCACCCCCCTTTGGGGCTCAGCCTCCTCGCTGGCTATCGGTGTCTAACTTTGATACTATTTGTAATAGTCCAAGCTCACCGCTAGCCGATATTGTTCTCTTTGGGCTTTTCCTTTTAGGCTTCGCCTCAAGATTCTTAAAACGCGTCGGTTAGGGGGAGGTTTCCATACCCTTATAAAGAATGTTTCGTAATATGCACGTTTCAATTACTCTGGACAAACAGTCTTGCAAAGGGTTTCTCTTCCTTGTTTCAAACAGATAGTGGGTGCCTAGGAACAATGTTTCATTCCTTTTCGTGATTTTAAGAATATTGGAGTATAACAACCTCACTTGCATAGGATTTGTTCTATAGGTCGTACAGTTGGGTCCATGAGTTCTAAAGAATTTTGGATTACAGGGCTGATCCTAAGTAATCATAAACCACCAAATGGAGCCAATTTCTTCTCTATTTTATATAATGCAAATTGCTTTACATAGTCCTTCGATTCATGTTTTGAACTGGAAATTTTCACTCTGATTATAAAATTTCTTCTTAAAATTCAAAGCTGCTTCTAGCCTGACTTTATTTGGGCTTGGAGTGTTTGTGGAGGATTTCTCCAAGGTCTTGTACGCAAGCCTCTAGGTGGAAAGCTTAATGAATAATTTGGAGTCTGGTTTTTTCTTGTGGATTAATGGCAAATGGTTATGGGGGTGGCACTAACTGATATCGTGCTATCAACAAGAAAAAGGAAAAACATACCTAAATGATGAATTCCTTCCTCAAGATTGTACTATTGGATCTCATGTAGTGTCTTATATCCCAGTCGGTTTCCTCTGAAGATTATGAAACCAATGCTCTGCTTGAGTATGATGTAAATGAAATTTATGTTTTTAAAGGAATATAAAATATCAGATGCATTTCTTGAAATCTACCGTCAATTTGTAGCCCAAGTCCATCGCTAGCAGATATTGTCCTCTTTAGGCTTTACCCTCAAAGTTTGAGTTTCCTCTCAAGGTTTTAAAACGCATCTATTAGGGAGAGATTTTCACAACCTTATAAAGAATGCTTTGTTCTCCTCTCCAACTGATGTTGGATCTCACAATCCACCCCTTGGGGGCCAGCGTC